CACTTCACTCAATAAGATCATTATTATGTACATCAACCAATACAACACCTCATGAACTGATGTTTAAGCACCCCAGAAGATCGTATTATGGAGGTTCAGTTCCAAGCTGGCTGTCACAACCCGGCCCAGTGCTGTTGAGAAAGCACAACAGACCCAGCAAGTATGACTCACTTGCAGAAGAGGTAGAACTTATTCAAGCAAATCCAGGTTATGCTCATGTGAAACTCCCAAATGGACAAGAGAAGACAGTATCCATAAGAGATCTGGCCCCAGCACCTGGACAACCATCTTTAGAAACAGACTACCAATTGCCAGAAACATGTGGAAATGAACAAGTTATTCAAGAACCGGAGGTTTCATTTGATCAAGAACAAGTTGAAAATGATTCTAGTGGGACATTAAGTGACACGAATGTACCAGTTGAACATGCAAACAGTTCTTGCAAAGACTCAAGTTCAGTGCCTTCCAAAACGCATCCACAGCGTATACGGCAAAGACCTTACTATCTAAAAGACTACGTCTCGTTTTAGGGTGGGAAGAATGTGATAATATTTTTATACATATGAACTGTTATTATTCCTTACTGTATTTATGAATTTATTTATTGTCTCACAGTTGTTCTTTGTTTACTATTTACATTTTGTATTTGTATGTTGACTTCAGAGTTTATTAAAACCTATCATTAGGTCTATTCATAATGAGTTTTATTTGCACTTATTGAATTTTATTTTATTGCATTTTATAGATATACCACGAACAAAACAACCTGCGCAGAAACGAAAAGATCACGTGGTTCGCGCAGGTAGGTGGGCCGTACCATTGAAACCTGCGCGGCTCGAAACGGCCGAGGGTTCTTTTGTTTCTGGTATTACTATAGTGGTCTGATTTCTAGTTTCTATATGTCAATTGTTTAATTTCATTAAGACATATTTTCTTTAATCTTGACCTGTAAAATGATGTGAAAGTCGACTATACTTCCCATTTTAAAATTTTTAGCTACCCTTCACCAATAACCTAAGATTCTTCTTCTGAAGAATTTCATTATGTTCCTATCGTGATACACAACTTCCGATCACGATAATCTATATCTATAAAAAAAGAAGTATGTATGTGTGTATACTTAAGTACACCCAAGTTGTGCAACGTAAACAGACTGATGATTAAAAAGATAACACCAAACTTGATGGAAGCAACAATCATCAGTGGCAAGTTCAAAGGAGAAATAGTCTTAATTCCAAGAATACCGACGATTTCATCCGAATCACCCTTTGAATTCAAGCTATACTACAATTTTCTTTGTGTCTTGCTTTTGCAATCACCGTTATAAAGCACAAGGGCAATCCCTGACTATCGCCGGTTTAAATTTAGAAAATGCATGCTTTTCCCACGGTCAGTTATATGTTGCGTGCTCACGTGGTGGTAAGTACGCCAAAAAAATTATATATTTACACAAAAAACCATTGTTTATCCACTCTAAGTAAAATAAATATTACATTGTTGTTTACATGGTATACATTATTAATATTTATTGTTAAGAAATAATTAACATTGAAATAATAGTTGTTAGTGCAGCTACGCGAGCCGCGTAACTGCTAGTCTTCCCTAAAATGTGCTCTTAGCAATGTTCTTTACAGTGGCATCTTTCGAATCTCTTGCTTTCGAATGAGATTTTTTTAAAGCACTGCAATTCGACTGTGAGGTTATTTGCACAAGGGTAATCACCTTTTCAGCAGCTGCTGACTTAACAGAAAAGTTTAGCTTCTTCAAAACAGATCTCATCACACTTTATATGCCATTTTAATGAGCGACAACGACGCATCTAAACCTCACTAGTCACTACGTTCATAACATTCGCAAATAAAACAGTGCCATCGCATCTCATCTCATTTGCATTATTGGTTTCTAATTAAGCTGTATCCACGTGGTGGTCCCCTACTGTTCAAGATCAATGGCCAGATTCACTACAAAGTCTACTCCATGCACAAATTAGCAAAGCGAGATTATACATGTACAACTTTATGTGATCGATACGTCGAGGTAATGGACCTTCATTCGCATGTCAATGTTTGACATCAACCTCATGGCAAGAATTCACAGAGGTTAATCAATTAGGAAAGAAGTACAGGATGATGGCCGACAAAGTAAGAGAAGAATTGAAGTTGAGAGTATGCAAGAAATAATGTAATGCCTTCTGTAATATGAAATAAACCTCCTCAACCATCCTCAGGCTACAACCATCATGCATATATACACATGGGAGTATAGCTTTAGTAAAACCCGGATCTCTATCTTAATATTTAAGTTAGTTAGGAGGTCGTTAAATAAGATAACCAGGCTAAACGGAAAGAACTGAAATTTTTATTGTTCCAATTGATGCACAAACCCACTAATGAATTGCTGATTGAAAACGTCCTAGAGGCAGCTAAAACTCCAAAGTTGAATCTACTCACACGTACTATTATACCAATCAAATATCCAAGCCAATTGAAACTCCCTTTTCCACACACAATCCCCTCTTTAACTAAATCCCCTTTTAAATAAAACTTTCCCTTACAAAACTCCCCGCTAAAGGGCCTAACACTAATATATAGCAACCAGTACTCACCCAACACTTCTGGGACCCTGCCCTGGCCGACTGACCCCTTTTGTGGCCTATTTATTGAACTTGATAGCTACTGAGTGCAAGGCCCTCAGTGTTTACAAAACACCGCCAGCACGCTTCACAGCAAGCAAGGCCTGCCCACAGGTCATCAACCCAGCTTGTCTAGTTTACTCAACCCTACATTACTCACTTTGAAGTAAGGATGTTAAGTTATGCTTTATGGATAAGACAAAATATATTTTTTACCACACTTTGATGTTTTTAACTGTTTTACATACGTTAATTGGTGACTGAAAGTTACGTTTTGCTGGCCATGCCAGCTGTCATCGTTATTTGGGGACCAAGCAGGTTTTTACATCCCTAGGGCCGCAAAATCAGCTACCCGCCTGCTTTTTCTCAAAACATTTCAGAATGCATTTATTGCATTTATGCATTTTATTTTGAATGCATATTAGGGCCTAAATACAAAATCAGCACCCATAGCATTGCAATAGAATTATTTTATTTTCACTGCTGCCTAGAAACAATTTTTTTTTTTTTTTTGTTTGCTGATTCCTCAATTAATTTCTTCACATAAACTTAAAGTTGTAGTTGTGTTGACAGATGACTGTTGAAGATGAACATGATAACCTAACCTAACTAACAAAACTTGCTGATAATGAAAAAAATCTAATGAAGGTTAAATTCTGTCCATAAAATAAAATTATAAATGCTTAAAATTCTAACTAAAGAAGTACAGTTAAGAAGAAATGGCATTCTTAGCAAATTCTTTGACGAAAAGTTAAGTGTCACCGATGGGATTCGATCTAGACCTAGATACCTCTTGCACATCAGCCGTGTACTCTATCCACTACGCCACAACACTCAATGCTGTACGTCACACGCCAGCAAAGAAAACAGTCTAATTTGATTACGCGAGTCACGAGAAACAGTGACGTCATCATCTTTATCCCGAGAGGCTTTCATCACCAAACATATTACATTTTTTTAAACATACTTTACAACGAAATTATTTAACCTGAATATTTTATACCATATCGGAATATAATAACCTCACTTTTTCTTTAAATTTTGAATCAGACCACTCAAAATTTAAACTATACACAAAACTAAAGTTTATTAAAATATCGTGTTACAGTATACAGAAGTTATTGAAACACAGGGCCTTGACCATGACATGTAAAAAGTAGAAGTCAGAAGGTGTAAACTTAAATTAGTTATTAGAAATAATTGTTGTAAATATCTTACTCGTTGTCTCTTAAAAACCAGTAGGAATAGTCAAGTAGCATTGTTTGTAATTATTTTATGTTTGTCTTAGCTAATGCAATGTATTAATAAAGAAAAAATAAAACTTAAAACATTTTTTGGGTGGGCCTCCCTTTTAAGTAGGAACGTGCCTTCGCAATAGATATAAAAATAATAAAAAGATTTTATTTGCATAACACTGATGAAATTGCAGAAGTGTGTACCACAAAAGATCCACCAATACAATTTTAATACTATTTAAAGATTCTTCCAAAATTCTTTATATTATATTCGTCAAAAAGAACATAAACCAGTAAACATAGGAACAATAACTCTTATGACGGACGGTATAAGAAATATGTCATTCCTTGAATGATCAACCATATTTTGTAACTAACGCAAAAGTAATTATTGTTTCTACACCTATTTATTACTTATTAAACAATGCTAAATGCTCACATTTTTTTTTTTATATTTTCACTCTTTTTGTTTGCAATTAGAAGAATTGTCGCAAGCCTTTACAGCAACCGTCGATTTCGACGGGTTTCACCTAGTCTTTTATATACTATATTTACCGTCTTGTTTAGAACAGTTTAAGTGTAAACGGAACTCTTTTGCAAAATACATAATCTGTTACAATCCTTGAAACGTGCTCCAATAATTTATATCCTACCAAAATTTGTGTTGCATCATTTTCTGTAAAAGTTAAGTACAAACATATGTTACAAATTTGCTAGACATTTGTTACTACTACAAACGTGTGTAACTCTTGCAAATTGAAAGATTGTCTTTGTCAGTTGAGGTTGATTGTGGCTATTTTATATGACAAATCGAATTCTAGAATTGTTTTTCTTTTACCTTTGATATCAGTTTTGAAAGTAAAACTGTTAAGCATTTCAATTTATGTTTAAGGAGCAAAGATTACACTTACTTATATATATATTATTGTATTTAACATAAAATTGACAAAAACCAACTTTAACGTTACCAATTTATGTAACTAAAGAATACCATTACAAGAGTCACACAATTTCGTGTTTTTCAAACTATCCAAATAACTCTTCAAGTAATCAAATTATGGAAATTCATTTAACTCAAGGACTCTATTAGGAAAACACAAGGTTAAAAGTTATAAAATGGTTTATTGGTTAGGTATAAGAGTAAGAGAGAAATCAGTTGTATATTTTTGAAACATAATCATGGTAATATGGTAAACAAATAGTGCAATTCAAACTTAAGAAAGATAAAACACAATACATATATTACCGTACAAATTTAATGACTATATTTTAAAAATTAAGAACATAATCTTTAAAATACTTGTATTGAATTACAAATATAATTTCTGACAAATTGAATAGTACAAAAAAAATGTATTACATAATAGTTAGTTCCTGTTTAATTTAAACAAATTCTGTCCAGCCAAGGAAGGAAAAACATTGACAAAGCACTTAAACAAACAAGCAAACTTAAGCAAACCTTTAAACGGGTACTCAATCTGTAATATACCGATTTCAATGGCCTCACAATCTAATAATTGTATTTAAAATTATATATAATCCGCATACTACCTTAGCTTTGTATTGACTAAGGGGATATATATGAATTTGAACGGATGGTGTTTTTGGCCTCTGGGGACCTCAAAACGAAAAAGTAAATCGGTCCCGGGTCTAGGTCTTACCATGAGACCTACGATAATAGCTTATTCCCTATATGGGAAAATCGCTAAAAATAAAAAATAAATCTTTACATAAGTACGATATTTTAGCCATAGCCCTTAATTTCCACAAAATATAACCCAAGCCATTTTCTTCTTTACATTTTAAACAAATAACATTACAATGTTTTACTTGAAAACGCATATTATATGATATATACTGTTACATCAATAAAACATACTATGAAAACACATAATCTAATTCATTATCTTATTTACAATTGATATAAATAACATTACAATGTTTTGCTTGAATTCACTAAAACATCACCAACTGTAACGATAACACCATTTTCGTATGGTTGTAAACAATAGTAAATGACATATTACTTGATGTATTGCAAAAACCATCTAAAATAATCCAACAAGGTATTAAAGATAAACAAGGTATTAAAGATATAGCCTTAGAGTACTTTTTGCTCGCTTGTTCGAATTCTTTAAGTAATCAGAGCTAACAGTTTCCTTGGTATGTTCTACTAATACAAAAAAAAATTAGCTTTATGCAATGCATATTCGGAGAGTAACATAAATTTGTTCAGGCCATTTGAACTTGTATTTCACTTAAAAGAAAAAAAAATAAATGGTATCAGCAATCTGACACATACTTTCTCCCATAAGCTTTCCAACAACCATTAGAAAGAGTAAGCGGTGGGAGTAACTATAATATTTTATAGGGAAATTCATCAGAGTTGCAATAACCTTTGAACCGTAATTGTTACAGCAATCTCTTACTTGTTGCACTATTTTGTTTAGAATTATAAGGACTATAACATATTAATTTTAATCAAAACCGGCTTTTTTCCTAAAATCTGATTTTTTGTTTTATCGGGGTTTTATGGGAAGATAACATAAGTTACAATTACTTTGGAAACGTAAAACTGGGTTTTCCTAGGAGCGGAAGCGGAGAGAGGAACGTGGAGAGTGGAAAAGAGATTAACATGGTGTTCCGCTCCGCTTCTAGGAAAACAGTAACATTAAATTACCTAAGATAAGTGGAGTCCGCTCTCCACTTCCGCGCCTAGGAAACCCCGACTTAATTTTTATGGAAATGGGATTTGTAAAATTTTGTTCAAAAATTAAAGAATTTACTAATTTTTATTCAATTTTGATATTTGTAATTTTATGAGGTTTTTATGGGAATATAGCATAAGTTGCAATAACTTAGAAACCGTAATTTTAACGGAAATGGGATTTGTACCATTTTGTTCAGAATTTAAAGTAATAACTTCTTGATCAGCATCGTACGTGTTATTGAATTATCTGAAAAACAAACAAATATATACGTCTAATAATACTTGTAAACTTGCTTTACAAGTGTTATTAGACGTATATATTTTTTATCAGGTAATTTAAAGGACTAAAACATACTACATTTTTATCAAATTTGTTCAGGCCATTTTCGAGAAATCCCATTTTTCCGTTATTTTATGGGTTTTATAGGGGGATAAAGTAAAAGACTTATCATTGAAATCAGCTGTTATTGTCTTAAGTGCAAATTATCAAAATAATATTCTTCGGATTAAAAAGAAATACAAACAATTTATGCTTTTAGAGATATTTGACTAAACCCCGGCAGCATCTCAAATTTTAGTTTTACACGTAATCAAATAAGTCCAATAGAATTTAGAGTTCTTCCAAAGTCCGATTCTAAATCTTCTTTTTGAATCTTCTATTGATACTCATAGTAGGTGAAAGAACTGCAATATCTAGTTGTACCTGAAAATCAGTCAATCGTTCTGCGAATCACTTCATACTTAATCCAAAGATGATTTGCAATTTTCTTCAAAAGCCAAACGAAATGTTTCAAACGCATCTTTTACTTGATTGTAATCTTTCACATGGTCAAAATGATCATCAACTATGTATCCGATTTGACTTCCAGCTGGACAAATGTCAATTAAGAGCTCTACACAGCATACGCGTAGTCGCTCACACCACATTTTGACAATCAAGCCCTTCTCCTCCAAATATTGTTTGCATTTGATTGGATCGCTTTTCAAGCATTTTATAAGGGTTTTGATTTTATTATCGGCAGACTTTTCACTTGTTTGGGCATTATAGATACTTTCATCACTTAGATCTTTCAAAACCATAGTCATCAACTCCTCACAAACACATTCTCTTGATAAAATGTTATGTGCAATCCCTTCTTGCGTTAAACCATCTTCTTTGTACAGCCGTACTGCACCAGCATTCAATGAATAATTTCCCCCATAGGGTCTTATCCTACCTTTCACATCGTATCTGCTGTAATAAAACGATGACGCTAAACGAATGTTCCTAGGACCAGCCATGTATTTAGGTTCATTCTGGGATGAGAAAATGGTGTTTGGTTGATAGAACTGAAACTTTACATTTTCTTGTGATTTCATTAGATCAGCGATATAATCGATGAATAATCTATCAAACGCATGGCGTGCTGATTTAACATTTTCTGGGGTTGGATCATTACCTTCAACTATGTAACAACACTGACTGCCCTCAGGACATATATTTCGAATAAAAGTAGAACAATCATCCCCTATACAATCATTCCAATCACATGGTCGTCGCTCAGACCACATCTTGACTATCAAACCCTTATTATTTAAATATAGTTTGTAATCACTGGCTTTCTTTGTCAAGTTATTTAAAATTTTGTAATCATCTTCATGTAGTTTGTCGTCGTCTTTGTAGTCACTAGGCCGCGGAGGGATACCTGATTTTCCAGAATCAGCTTCAATTAGATCATCCAGCACATCTCTCATCAAGATCCTTTCAGTATGACCCAGTGAACATTTCCAACGCGAGACTGTACATGAAATAGTATTATATTCCTTTCTCTCTTTACCTGGTATGGTGTACTTCGTTATTCCATCTTTTTTATACAACTGCAATGCTCCAGCATTTCTGAAATAATTATTCATTTCATAGTATGTTCCTTGGATTTCTTCTCTTGGATGTCTGCTATGGTAAAATGCTTTTACCAAATCAAAGTGGTTTTTTGCAGCCATCCCGTCTGGATTATTATTTCGTGTCTTTCCATCTTTATCTGTATACTCCTCATTACAGAAAATCCACTCGGGTGCATAGTAGTCAATATTAATTGAAGCAGGTTCTGTTTCCTCATTGTCATTGCTTGCCTCATTTTCCTCAATGTCATTGCTTGCCACATTTTCCTCAATGTCATTGCTTGCCACATTTTCCTCAATGTCATTGCTTGCCACATTTTCCTCAATGTCATTGCTTGCCACATTTTCCTCAATGTCATTGCTTGCCACATTTTCCTCAATGTCATTGCTTGCCACATTTTCCTCAATGTCATTGCTTGCCACATTTTCCTCAATGTCATTGCTTGCCACATTTTCCTTAATGTCATTGCTTGCCACATTTTCCTCAATGTCATTGCTTGCCACATTTTCCTCAATGTCATTGCTTGCCACATTTTCCTTAATGTCATTGCTTGCCTCATTTTCCGAGTCACCTTTTATTTTTTTTTCATCATTTTGCATTGGTTCATCAGCTGACCTTTTAGATGACATTTTCAAGTCTGCTGCGTCTCCAGTCGGATTCATTGTTTTAACCAATAATTTATATGATTTTCTGACCTCCTAAAGAAACATCAGCTTACAATTCTTCCGAAACAATTGCAGGTTGGTCCTTAGTTAACTGGTACCATTGATCCTGAAACAACAAACCTTGTATACCATCCGCAAAATAAATTTTCCTGAATGAATTAATGAATTTCAAAGCTTCGCAACCTGCATGGTGTAAATACGTCGTTATGTGCCAGCACTTCAATGATGATAAAGTTAAAAACATTTACAAATGCAACTATTTGAGTCCGAACCGAAACCGACTGACTGAATTGGCTGAATACAACTGTACATTGTCCAACTCAAACTGTACATATATCTGTTGCCAATGACCAATAATATCACTTCGATATATGCTAACCAGGCCGCGATTATTGGTCACTGTCATTTTTAACGACTGTCTACGAAGATTTTTGTTAATAGTTAAAAAATACTGTTAATATTGTTAATGGATACTGAAAAAAATCTTACAAAGGGGTATTTTTTCCACATTGCCCACCTGTTAACTCTTCCTATGATTGTATTGCATTCTTTCATGTGCTAGGACAAGTATCTATATTTTTAATAGGCAAGCATGTTTCTTTAAAACTTTTTTCATCTATTCTACTTATATTAAAATATTTATCTACTAAATTATATGGAGAGAAGTCGTCCGGTCGTCGAACTTACACTTTACAAGCCTGAGAGGTGACGACAGATGTTTTTAGGCTTGTAATTTCGCTGTCATTCTGCTGCGTTTGGGACTGGGCCAGACAGAAAGTGATTTCAGCCAGTACTGTATTTTCTGCTTGTGCCCCGAGTCCGAGTACATACATAAACGGGTGACGCACGTGGCACAACATAGAGCGCTCAGTAACAGATGGTAACAGTTTAGCATATAGTGGCTGCCTCCCCACCAACGCATAACAAGACAAGTACATGCGATGTGCATCTTTCGTTTGTACGTGACAAGACTTTAAACCAAATATGAGTGAAGGATGAGTGTAGAATGGTGTGGGATGGTCTGTGTGTCTTTGTTACTGACTAAGATCAGCTGTTTCATCAGTGAGGATTATTTAAGTTCAAATATCTGGTACAGCTGAGCTAGGTCCAGTTTCAAACCTTTGAAAGCTATTGACTTTTCTCAGGGAACCGGCGATCAATACTAAACTACAAAACATAATTTTACCCCTATTCACACTGTACCTTGTTATAGTAAACCCAATTTCAGTTGTTCCCAATTTCAAATAATTATTGTAAAAGATGATTCATAATCCAGCAGACTTTACGGAAAAAGAGTACATGATTTACTGATGTACAACACAATATGTAAAGAAAAGATACGTGTGTGTATGGAATCATAAACAGGAGTAAAGTTTGGCAAACTTTCCGTTGGCCAGCAAGTTTGCAAAAGAAGCTCCATAAAAAAAGAAAAAAAAACATGGACAATTAACATATTATAGAAAAGTACTGATTTTCTCAGGTTATGCAAACAGCACGACCTAAATAGTTTTCTCTTTAAATCACAAATTACATTAAACTGAAAGGAAGTGTACTGTATTTCAAAAACTAAATATACTGTTGGGCTACAGATGTTTACGACGATTACGACGATAATTAATTAGGTTAGAGCAGGAATATTGGAACAAAAACTGTATGTATCATAAAAATAAACAAATGATGTTACTGGCCCGAAAGTAAACATTATTTAATACCAGACCATATGTCTGGTGTATCATTCGGGCCAATTACGTCATTTGTTTATGTTTATGATCCATACCGTTACTGTTCTAATATTCGTGGATTAGAAGGTTTCTTGTTAAAAAATAGTCGAGAGCTGCGTTAAATCACTGCACATTTGTTTGATCTAGTGCCAGCTAATATAGATCCTCCTAGATGTCAGCTGACAACAAATTGTATAGTGATGAGTCACAAACCGGTTGGCAACGCAAATCGCAGCTTTTCCTTGTCTTGAAACAGCTAGTTTATACAGTTCACACAAACTACTGTACATTATGAAAATGGTGGAAATGTTATATTGCGTACTATAAAGTTTGTTGTTTTTTAGATTTTTTATTTACGACTAAAATTAAACACATAAAACTCCAATATAAACACGAAATGGGTTATTATTTGTAAAAACCAACATGGCTGATAAACCAACCATTCTAACGTTGTTTATTTTAGGATAAAGAGACTTTAATATATAAGTTTACAACTAAAATTATTTACAACCTGTCATTTTGAAGCTGAAATCTAGGCTTGATGTCAAAACCTAATTCCCGCACAATATTGTGCAATAATATTATGGATGAAAAAATACGTAAACCATGTAATATATCTACAATTTTATTTAATTACTTTAAATTCATCTCATGATAACATCAACTTACAAACTCTCTACTAAAAAAGTAAAAGACCAAATTCTTCAGAAGCCAAATTTGCTGGACGAAGTATCCCACTTCATACACAGTATTGTAAAATAGTTGCAAAATTACTGTCAATAAATAAAATTGTTTTAAATAACTTTAGTGTCATAAAAAGCCAATACATTAAAAGGAACTATTATTCGTGAAAGATAACATTCCAATGAAACCTTTGATTCTAGGTTTTACTTTTTCCCCTAGTAATAGTAGTCTATATGGAGAAAGTATTTTATTTTTTATTTTATTTTTTTTCGAGTTTGAATTTTGCGAGGATATATCCGTTTTGTGTCCCCCTGAACCCAAAAAAGTGGGTTTTCAAGTGATGTCTGTATGTGTTAGTTTAAAATAGTGATTAAAAAAACCATAAAACAATGAAAAAATCGAATTTTTACAAAAGCAGCCCGAATTATTCTCATAAAGTAGTATTTTATGGCACTTTTGACTGTAAATATAAGAGCACACCAATTATCTCTGTAAACATTACAGTTCAAAAGTAATTGTATTTTATGTGGTTTTCCCAATAAAACCCCAAAAAATAATGGAAAATCAAAGTATTTAAAATAAACCGGGTGGATCGATTTTGTATAAAATTTAATATGTCTTGGTCCCTATGATTCTAAAAAATGGTATATACCCCTTTACTGTATAAAGTACTGTTCAAAAGTTATTACTTGTGTGACTTCCCCCATAAATTATGGTTGTAACTCTCACAGCTGATGATAAAGGTTGTTGACAACCTAATGAGAGAAAGTATGTGTCAGATTGCTGATACCTTTTATTTTAGATAGTTGACCAAGGAAATTGTCTGAATACAAAATCGACTCTCCGATAATATAGCCGTCTCGGTTCAATACCCTCCCCCCCAATTTTCTCTCTCTCTCTCTTTCTTCCACCCCCACATTCTCTATCTCTCTCTTTCAATACCCTCTTCCTCCCCCATTTTCTCGTTCACTATCTCTCTCTCTCTCTCTCTCTCTCTCTCTCTCTCACTCTCTCTCTCTCTCTCTCTCTCCCTCCCACCCCACATTCTCTCTCTCTCTCTCTTACAATAACACCTCCCCCTCAACTCACTCTTTCATTCACTCTCTCACTCACATGTACCCCTACAATCACAAATACCATCACACTCACATCTAACTGAAAATTTTCAATTACATTTCTATTCTCCATAAAAACATCTCCTAACATAACTACTTCCGATACATTTTTGTAAGGTCACTTTATCAATTATAAATCTCTGACATTTTGTCGCTTTCAAAACTTCGACTTGTGCAAATCCTACATATTTTAAATATCCGATATCTTTGCTTTATAAGTCAATAATTCACTTGTTTAAACATAAACATCTATACAAATAAATTTGTATAAACTGCCATTCTTCAAAAGCTCAGTGTCAGAGGTAAAATATGTTTGAACGTAATAAATCTACAACTATTTCTTCACAGTATTTCGCAATCAGTCCTACAAAGAAATTTAAAAAATCCTAATCCTAACCTATTTATTCATCCTTATTTTTAAAACATTATCCTTCAGTATAAAAACTATATCTTCTTTGTTTACAACTCAACAACAGATAACGATTTCATAATTCTTCCGACCTTGCAAATCCTAATCACTTAACGTCATTCTTCCAAGAGATTTTTTTTTATTTGCCTGTAGGATATATGATTTATAGTAACAAAGTGTTGATGTAGAATTTTCATTCCTAACGACATAGTTTAGTTTTATAATACTAAGGTGTAAACATAAAAACGATCTTGCCATTATTTAAAACTCAGGTTGAGGTAAAATAGGTTATGTTTGAACATTATAAACATGCAACTATTCCTTTACATTATTGCGCAATATTGTGCAATAGTAACACATTTCTGATGTAGTATTTTCTTTACTAACAACATAGTTTAGTCTTACAATACTATGGTGTGCATAAATAAATAAAAGTAAGTAAACAGAATTAACACTGTGTATAAAAATACATACCTCGTCTATTTTGCAGGTTGCGATAGCGTCAGGAAGCCGGACGCCCACTGGGCACTGACTCGCCGCTGGGAAGTGGTCTAGTGAGTAGTGATACCAGTTGCAATTGCACTAACTGAACCATGACGTCATCGACGGCGTCGACTACCATTACCCGAAGGAGAGTGGCAACACTGTTGACTAGTCGCTTGACCTTACACACTACTTTCACTCTCAACTGATAATCTGCCGCACTATATTCGTGCTAGCGTTTATAATCTGTGATTCATTGTCTTATACAGGGTGTCCCGCGAAGAGGTTTAAACGTTTGATTTCATATTACTTGACCATTTATGCACGGAATATTTTGAAACTTTACACAATTTATAAAGTAGTTTGTAAAAATATCCTGGGAAAATTTCAGCTTGATAACTTTTGTAGAAACAAAGTTGTGGCATATTAATAAAATTATATTCATTTTTTAGATGTTTTAAATTTTCAGCGTTATTAAAATTTAACTGTTTTACACATCAGGCTATATCATTTTATAACCTAACTTAATCATAAAGACCCTAAATTTGAACCTTGGGGGACACCTTAGTCCACCAGAAATGTGTTAGAGCATGCACCAATGTATGTTACATACTGACGTTTGCACTAGTATGAAGAAAATAATTTTAACGTGTTTTCAGATAGACCATAGTAATGGACCTTAAGACAGTTGCACTTAGTAATTAAAACTCTATGAAATTATTTTTCGAAATCAGTGTACATAAAATCAACCTGAATGTTTTGATCAAAAGAATTTATAACGTAAACTGAAAAAATACTAAATTCGAATTATTTGACCGACCAAGACAAAATTCATGTTGATGAGGGGTGATAAAAGTTGATACTTGACTGAGCAATTCGTTGTATAAAATTTACCCAAAGGCTTGGAGAAGATACCACTGCGATTGGTCTGTAATTTTTTTTATAATTTCTAATACATTTTCTATCTTCTAAATGTCTAGAAACAGTTGTTTTTCAAAGAAAGGTTGCAAATGAATTGAAATGGGTTGACTAAAATATCAGCACATCCCTTTAAGAAACAAGGAGTAACATTATAGCCCATAATGATCATTTTATTTTTAAAGCATTTAAAACCTCTACCTCACCAATCCCAGAAATTATCAATGAATTAACATTCTCCATAAGTGGCGAGCAAAGCGCTTGGCGTACAAGGTCATCAAGGTCGCTGTGTTTGTAAACTGATTGAAACAAATTAGCCAACGCCTCTCCCATCTCATCATTTCCATCTTCACATTGCATCTGGGCCTTAATCACTTGCTTTCAACTCCTTTATAATACCCCAAAATTGATTGTGGATTATTTCACATGTTTATTTCAAAATTTGTGATACAATATTACATCATAATCAGTTTTTCTCAATTTTATTTCAGAACGTAATTGTTTAACCTGGTAAAGATGAGTCGTTTGATATTTTTTTAACGTTTGCGAACTTTTTTATAATTTTTTACCGTCAATTTTAATTTGTGAGAGAACCATAGGTGTTTAGATAGGCATTTGGGGCGTCTTGCTGGAACGTGTGTGTCTACAATTGTGTGTATTTTGCTGTAAAAAAACTTCTAGTGTTGTTTAATAAATCGTATTGAAATATTTTAGACCAGTCGAAGTCACGAGTGTCTCATTAAATTCTAAAAAAAATGGCATTTGGGGCGTCTTGCTGGAACGTGTGTGTCTACAATTGTGTGTATTTTGCTGTAAAAAACTTCTAAAGTGTTGTTTAATAAATCGTATTGAAATATTTTAGACCAGTCGAAGTCACGGGTGTCACAGTAAATTAAAAAAAAATTGCATGTGAGGTGTGTCAGCACTGAAGTCTGTATCGCTTCTGCCACTCCGAACCATGTGGAATTCACATAACAGCGCGGGGACACATAACCATCAATATTTATACAAAATAGGATTACGGAAAGTGTGGTTACACCACAAAAGATGGACCACTTACCATATTTTGTATATTTACCGTCTTGAGAGTAACAGTATAAGCGTAAATATATGTTTTGAGTGTTATAAGACGTATCTTTATTTACTTTCCGTAAATTTAATGTACAATGCTGATCAAGAAGGTATTTAATGGGATTATATTCTTCAACAGCAGTCAAACCGTTTAAACCACTTAAAAGTAGACCTTAAGTCCTACATTTAACATATTATTCTTTAAAACTAAATTACGTAGCCTACAATAAAACATTAACTGTGTGCATGTCTCATTTCCCTGTGATAAGTTATATCCAGACACAACAATATGTCGATTAAAATCGAGATAAAATCCTCTCTATGAAAATCCTCCATTACAATTGTATGTTATATCTTCGTACAAATAATCTACCTTATAATAAAATGAGTTATAAGAACTGGCATCAGAAAAAGTTTTAGTAAATTTTAGATGAGCCCAAATATTATCGACCTCTGATTTTAATTAAATTAATCTCTGAACATTAATTTAATCATCTACTGCTAACAAAACTTTTACAACCCTACTTTTCCCCGAAAGTATAATGATTGAACAGACATTCTAGTTTTTACTATACATTTATTTTACTGTATGTTTATGTCTGAGTTTCTATGACTGATTTTTCCCCATAAAACCCCTCTAACATAACAAAAAATCGATCTTTAGGAAAGAAGCCGGTTTTTATTAAAATTAATGTGTTATTGTCCTTATAATTCTAAACAAAATAGTGCAATCCCCCATTGCTGTAACAATATTACAGTTTAAATGTTATTGCAACTTTGATGATTTTCCTTATAAAATATCATAGTTACTCCCACTGCTTACCCACGTAAAGGTTGTTGACAAGCTAATGGGAGAAAGTATGTGTCAGATTACTGATACCGTTTATACTATAATACAACATCAATTTTCTGTTACGGTGACAATAAACAAATATGATTTTTTAAGTTGACTAGAACAGTGATTAAGATGCTCTAAACAATAAGTTTCTAATTTATAATGTGTTATAGAACGAATTACAACGGTATAAAATAGAATTTATTTTAACTAATTAATTAAGATTTTTTTTATTTACAAATAAATATAAATTTACAAAAAGTCACACAATTTAGTTACACAATCCTGTGGCTTGTCTGCAGCAATTATCATATTTTTTTGTAATTTCTCAGTACTTGTGTATTCAATCAGTCTTTTGTTTACCTTGTTTATCCGTAAATAAACTATACCATAACACAGAATACACTTATATACCAAAATAAATAACAACCAATCATAGAATTTAAAGTAGTCAGATTTTAACAATTTAATAAACTACGAAAAATTAATAATAATAAACATTTGATACAGTCAACAACATTGCTCAAATATAATGAAACACAGTTATTTTCAACTCCGATCTACATAGATATAAATTCTTTAACATTAAATTTAAAACTCTACAGTAACTACCAAACCAATCATAGAATTTAAGGTAGTCAGATTTTATTTATAGTGGTTTAATGAACTTTTATTTTCGTTCCAGCTCAAAATAGTTGTACACTACAACCATAGTTTCGACGCCAATTGCGTCATGGTCACGTAGGTCAAGTATCAAGTTGTTGTCATAGTCGGTCGCTTAGACGTAGTCAAGCTTACATAAACAAAAAAAAATGGTTCTCGGGGATGGAATACAGGCCTGTACTTATTTAACGAAACCGGCTATTTTTAGCTTATTTACTGAGTTGAGCTGGCTATGTACGTGTCCTATTGTGTTTTTGTTTGTATTTATGTGACCTTGACGACGTCCAAACGATCGACTTTGACAACAACGTGATACTTCTCGTTATGACCTACGTGACCATGACGCAATTGGCGTTGAATTGGTTGAAATGGTTTCAACTGGTTCAACTGGTTTCAAATGGTTGTAGGTGCAATACAACTATTTTGAGCTGGGACGAAAATAAAAGGTAATTAAACCACTATAAATATTTGTCTTACCAGCTCAGGGGCAAACCACAACAATGAATCAGATTTTATTAATTATTGATAACTAGCAGCTATACCCGTGCCTTGCAACGGGGACAGTATGCAAAAGAGACAATGTTGTTCTTAAAAAAACCTTACAAATTGTTTCACACCTACCATTTAGTTTGGAAACGAATTTTAACTGTATTATTTAACTTGATAATAGTACGTATTTAATAACTCAGACTGTGAACACTTATTTCGGCTACCTAGGATACAAAATCAATGATAGATTTTAATTTATAATCAAACTAGCAGAGTACCCGTCCTTCGTACGGGGTTGGCATATAAGTATCAAATGCTTATAGCAGTTATGAGTGAGGAGATGGTTTAAGAAATTTCGGTTCTTTTTGAAGTTCGTTCGCTACGCTCACTCACCTTTAGGTTGGAGCTCGTTCGCTGCGCTCACTTTCCTTCAGGTTAGCTCGTTCGCTACGCTCACTTGCCTTCAGGTTAGCTCGTTCGCTACGCTCACTCGCCTCCAGGTTGAAGTTCGTTCGCTACGCTCACTCACCTTTTGCTGTTGTCATAAATGTAAAAGAAATAATAGTGCTAGTGCTGCACCCTGTTGGTAATCCTTGTAACTTTTAATGCTATTGAACATCATAGAACATAACCAACTTGTTTAATTGAAACAGCTGTTAAGATTCATTAATTCCATTTCTCATAAGGTTAACATGGGAAACTCCAGAGCCACTGGGGCGGAGCCCCGAAGGATTTTTTGGGATAAAAATATGCCTATATGTTAATCGGGAATGTGAGCTATCATCATGCCAAATTTCAGCCCGATCCGACCAGTAGTTTTTGAGATTAGCTCATACAAACACACACACAGACACCACCTCTTCTTTATAATAGTATAGATAACATGAATAGTTTGTACTATAAATGAAAAGCTATCACAATAGTTCCAAACCTGTCAATAGTATAATTTTCTAACATATTTTAGTGAAATTATAATATATATAGGCTATATATACATATAATATATCTACCATAAATTAGAAAAATATGTGCACCAAGTTCTTTCTTTAGTTATAAAAATATCCATATTGTCCTAGCCTAAACACAAGTTAATTACTTAAAAATTACACACAAAAAATATTTATGTTAAAAATAGTTTAAAGGTAATCGTTTTTCTTTTTTTATACAAATATCTATTTAAAAAATTGGTGTTAATTTTGAAACCAAAAAATATTTTTTCTGATTTTTCTCAGTTTATCAGTTTGCTCAGTTTGCTGTGATAAAACGATTTTACTAAAAGAATTAGTCAAAGACCAGCCATGTTTTGTATAATCTGGGGAAATGAATGTTGGTGTTCGGTAGATATTTAGAAATAAAACTCAAGATCTATTTTTTGAGTATTTTAGATAAGCGTTTTTTAACCTTGTAAACCTTTTTTTTACTTCTCTCTTTTCAACTTTCATACTTGGAAAGGATTTTAACTCAACTATATAACCATACTGACTGCCCTCAGGACAGATATCTTCAATAAACTTAGAGCAAGCTTCACCTTTGAGTTTCCACTTGTCACATGCTTGTCGTTCAGACCACATCTTGACTATTAAATCCTTGCTCTTTAAATATTGTTTGTATTCACTGGCTTTCTCAGTCAAATTGTTTAAAACTTTGTAGTCATGTTGTGTATTTGTGTCGTCTTTGTAGTCACTAGGCCGCGGAGGGATACCAGATTTCCCAGAATCAGCTTCAATGAAATCATCCAGCACTTGTAACATCAAGATTTTCTCAACATGACCAAGAGTTGTTGGTTTACCGTTAAAATCTTCGATTGGATACGAAATAGCATTATATTCCACTTCTTCTTTTCCTGGTATGGTGTACTTTCTTCTTCCGTCTTTTTCATACAACTGCAATGCTCCAGCATTACATGAATATCTATTCATTCTATCGCTTGTTCCTTGGATGTCTTCTCTAGTATATCTGCTATGGTAGAATATTGTTGCCAAATCACTGTTGTTGGTTCCAGCCATCCCTTCTGGCTCATTCACTCGCGCATCGCCATCTTGAGTGTATTTGTCACGGAAAATCCATTTTGGTGGATAGTATTTACTCTTAATGGGAACAGGTAATGTTTCCTTAATGTCATTGCTTTCCTCGTTTTCCGATTCAAGTCTTGGTCTTTTCCCTCCACTTTGCACGGGCTCATCAGATGATCTTTTGGACGACATGTTCTAGTCTGCTGCTGTTCTAGTAGACTCAGTTCTTGTAACCAACAATTATATTTAAAAATTACAGTTTTCTGTAAACCTCACTGGAAGACATCAGTTTACGATAAAACTACTTCTGGTCGATCCATGGTCCACTGGCAACACTGGTCCTGAAATAACAGAAAGTGATATTATTTATAACATATTGTGATTGACAATAGTTTTAATGGTCCTTTTCCGTTATTCACTAAAACTACTTTTTTATTACAATTCCGTTTATTAACAACCAGAAATAAGTCATAATTAGCAAGTTTGGTTAGGTTAGTTTAGAATAGTTTCATTTTATAACTGATATGTTCAAAGAATAGGCTAAATGTTGAAAATATCGGAATTTCAATAAAAAAAAGTATTTATAGTGAATTAACGGAAAAGAGCAGTTTCAATTTTGATTACCTGAAACGTATTGACTCTGTTTAATGTAATGTACAAGTAAATAATGAATCCAAAAATACAGGTTGGCTGGAAAGTTACTTGCACCTCCTTACTTTTTAACCATTTTATATATTTGAAATCGGTTTACGCCGACCTTCTTAGATATGAAGGGCTACAAAAATGATCAGTAATTTTGAAAATTATGCCTTCAGGGGGTAAAGGGTAGCTCAAATGTTTGTTTATTGGTGATTCGATTGTTATTTTCGTTATGTCAATTGTTTAGTTTCGCCAAGACCTGTAAAATGATACCAAAGTCGACTATTTGACAATTCTTAGATACCCCCTATCACCACTACCCCTAAGGGCACAATTTTCAAAACTAACCATCATTATTGTAACCGTTTGAATCTAAGAAGGTTGCCTGAAACCGATTTCAAACATCTTAAATTGATAAAAGGTTAGGGGGTGTAAGTTACTTTTCAGCTACCCTGTATAAAAGCTTAAGCCCTCACTCACCAATTCATCCCTCATCATAAATCATAAAAAATCATTGTTAATCATTCATTCAACTTACAACAATCATTAATCCTCCAAATTACGGACGAGCTAGAAGGCTGAAATTTGTTATACTCCTTATTCTTATTACAAATGGGAAAGTTAAACTGGTTTTGAAAATTATTCCATAAAGGTTACGCCCTAGATGCTCTCTCGCACACTTTTTTCATGCACACCATTATTCCAACCAAACAACAACAAACTGCGTGCTTTTATTAGGCAGGTTATACGTGTAAGTTTGAAAATAAGTTGGCAACACTTGAAGATATAACGACTACGATCAGCTGGTGCGGCGTTTCCCATTTCGTTTAATGTTTGGATTTAGCCTAATCTAAAAACGTGTTGTACAGTCTTTGCAAGAATAATTATTTATATGATTTATAGTAACTGTATGAAAAATAAAATGTGTAACGCGAGTGCAAACTACCGTTGCTGCACTCCAGAAACTTTCCACACTACCTACGGCTTGTGCGTAAACACTTTTCTCGTGTGCAGCAAAGTTCCACTTCGCCTACTAGTTACAAATAACTATAGCTAAACAATTAAACATGAATACAATATAAATGTTATTGTATGGACAATTAATCTCATCGAATGGGAACATTTCAAACTGAAACAAATCGTCATAGCAAACATACTAAAGGTGATCTTCGACTAGTACAGGTATCTTTCTCCAGACCGAGTTTTTGTTAATGCTCATCTTTTGGAAATACTGGGTCGATATCAGCCCATCTATCGTTCGGACACGGCTCACAGCAACAGCGTCCACCCAGCACTGAATTATCATGGTCCAATATCAACAACTTCTTGTTTCAGGGCCATGCCTTGGGATTTGTGAATTGTGATAGAATAGGTATGTGTCAATGGAAATTTTTGCGGCTATTGAAGGTTTGTTTATGGCACAAATGAATGCCAAAGGACTTTGCCACGTCTTCATTTCATGCCGTGATACGAACAACGTTACAAAGTTATGATTTGGTTGATATTTTTTTATATATATATCGTAAAGAAAAGTGTTCAATTACAATATGTCCATGTATGTATGTACCACTGATTTGAAAGATCAGATGGCATAAAGCCATATCATCAAACAGATATACAATAAATGCCACCATCTTGGTTGCCAGGTTCCGCTTGACGTAAACATTTGTCGTTCATTCATTGCTAATAGCTTATGACCACACATAGATAATTTCATAGTAAACTACGACACGGAATATTTCGAACAAAATCTGAAGATTTAGGCTAGTTTTTTTCTCCATGTACCTCATTGTAATTTTGTATATTCGATCTTAGGGCTGAGTGAATGACGGCCATTAACATTAATAGCAGCACAACCAGTTGGTGCTAAAGAGGTTATCAACAATATATTCAGGCTGCACACAGAGTTCATGTGAGTAGCAAAAAGGATTTAAAAAAATTCGCCCGATTGTAGTTCAGTTCATAACAGACTAAAACGTAACAATCTTTTGAAAAAAAAACCTTTATAAACAAATAATTCAATCCGTCGTTCTGGTTGCAAGTTATTCCGCTAATGAAGGTTTTGTAGATGATCACCTGACTCCTTAAAAAAAAAAAAAAAAAAAAAAAAAAAAAAAAACTATTTTATGAGGCGAGTCTAATCAAAACTAGGTACTTCAAAGCGAAAAAGTAAATCGGTCCCGGGTCCAGGTCTTACCATGAGGCCTAAGGCAATAGCTTATATCCTATATGGGAAATTCGCTAAAACTAGGTGGAAAAAATTAAAAACATATTTACCTGGAGTAGGTGGTCTCCTACCATGACTGTTGGACTCTTGGTCTGTTGGATGTGGTCCCTGACAGCATCTGTTGGAGTTCAAATCAACTTATCCTTTCAACAGAAGTATATATACTGTACTGATCATAACAACTAAATGCAAAATGACTTAAATGCTATTAAGTCACGGCTGTCATTTTATTTTACCTACGGCTGTTAAGTGTTATTCAAATACTTGTTCAAAAACTATAACTATTTTTCTTACATCTATTTTAGTCACTAAATTAATTCCTTTTTGAAACAACAAATTATCAAAATTTCATGACAGTTACCTTTTAAAACTTTGACCTATTTTGCAACTCTGATAATTGTATCGAGTAGAAATCTCCGACAGTTTTGTGTCTTGGTTTCTCATACTATTCCAAGGCAATTTTGTCATCAATTTAAATCGACATTTTGTCGATATCAAAATTCTATTTTGCACCTCCTACAGTTTTGAAATATCCGAAACTTTTGCTATAATTGTCTTTTAGGAATATAAAAGCCATGCAAAAGTTCGTCCTTCGTATGGGGTTGGACTATAAGTATAAAATGCTTATTGCAGTGTTATACTCAAGGTTTGCGTTTGCAATGGGGGAGGACACAGTTTGATAAAATTTGGTTCTTTACGGTATACTAGTATTACACATCTACCATAGCCATAATGTTCTACCACTTCACCTAAACAATAGAGACAAATGAATTAGGGTATTAAGGTATTAAACATTCCGAAAATATCACCAATTATTTATGAAATTAAAAACATAAATATAACTAACTGTAAACAATCCTACTTTGACATTTCTCATTGCGTATCACAGTTTTTTGTTGCTGCTTAGTTTAAATCAGCTGTTTCCATAAATAAAAAAATAATAATAATGCTGCGCCCTCCTGGTAAATCTTATCCATCTATATATTAATAGGCAAGCCTGTTTCTTTAAAGCTTTTTTTTCTCAGGCCGTGTCCATCGCAGGGAAAATCTACGCATACTGTTGGAAAAAAAATTACAACGAAATATAAATAGAAAATAAAAACAAATGGAAGAAACTCCAATCACATGTTTTATTTACAGCGTGGGGTGAAAATAGAGAAGTCTGTACATTACATATCTTTGGTCGAGTTTCGACCGCTGGACGACCTCTAGTATCTTTTTAATTAATGCTTTTGCATATCATTGACCCGATTTTTCCAGTTGAAACAGCTGATTAAATTCTTTAATTACCTTTAAATATGAATACCCATAAGGTTAACATGGGGAACTACAGAGCTAATGGGGTAGAGCCCAAAGGATTTTTGGATAAGAATATGCCTGTTAATCGGGAATGTGAGCTATCATCACGTCAAATTTCAGCCCATTCCGTCCAGTAGTTAATGCGTGATTGAACTTTAAATAAACAAACACTTAAACTTCACATTTATAATATTAGTAAGAAGTTAGATAAAAATTAAAGTAAGTTAGGAAATAAAAGGAATATTTTGTAAAAAAATACATACCTCGTTTTTTGCAGCTAACACTAGTTTTGCCAAGAAACGCTCACTGACTCGCCGATGTGAAGTTTTCGACTGAAACCACTTGCATCGACTGATCAAGTCAAATGGTGTCAACTGTTATTACTCATCGAAGGAGAGTGGCAACACTGTCGTCTGTAGTCTCCTGACGACACTACTTTCACTTGTGGATTTTTCCGCACTCCATTTTTGTGGCAGCGTTTATATTCTGTGATTCAATGGCTATTTATACAGTGTCTTGTAAGGTGTCTCAAATTGATTACGGAAAACGGCTTAACGTACAAGGATGAAATAAAATTATTCCCCGCTAAATCAACCCCAAGGAATAACGTAAAAATATTTTCAACTTTTTCCTGATACAGGGTGTACCAAAAACTGAGGGTCACTAGTTCGAATCTCGGAATTTTCAAATGTAAACATATGTAATGTTATACTCTTTTTAAAGGTAATAGACAAACATTTTGGCGAAAACAGAAATGAATTATCTTTTCCCGTTTCAAAATTGCGGCACATTATTTGGAAAAAGTCAATATCTTTTCAATACTCTTCGTTTCCTATATCAATGCACTTACCTCTTCTGCGGTTGAATTTTCTTACTCGTTATGAAATTAGCTTTACTGTAATATGCTACAAGTAACAGTTTTTATTATTTTTTTTGTATAAAAATTCGAAAAAGATAGATAGCCGGTGATAGACTCTTTCCGTTATCAATTTGGACACCCTGTATAGGGGTGGTGAAAAGTCCCGAAACGGCGGAATGTTTTATTTATTAATAATACTAGAAGATTCAAACTTAACATATTGAATTGGGGACTAATCTAATATTTTCTTTAGCTTTTTACGGACATCAACCTTACATACGGGCTCACGAGGAGTCAGTAGGAAATAATTAGTATAGGTTGATATGTACATCAAATTAAAGGTGTTTATTAGCAGAGGACAACGCCGTAAACCCGACTTTCAATTGACATCCGAGCCGAAAATGGCAGCCATTCAAAGATTGAATTTGAAATGTTTAAGGCTGAAAATTCTTGAATCGGTTTAGTAAATTATTAGCCAGAAGACTAAAACTGTGCAAATTTAATTAATACTGGGTGCCAACAAATTATTTTTAACGTGGTTACCAACCCTGTACCTTCTCTGGAGGATGGCCCATTAGGAGTCTGTAGACAATTCTTAATGTAAGCATAGGTAATGATGTGTGTAATTTAATGAATTACATTTAAATTTTTCTTCCAGTTTGAATCTTCTATCATTATTTAAAATACTAAATATTATGCCGTTCCGGGACTTTTCACATCCCTGTATATTATTATACTGTACACACAAAATTTAACAATTAAATTACGTTGTATGGGATAAATTGTTTTCGTCGATAATTAGAAAACTTGAAGATAAACACGGTTCAAGATTAAATTTGGAATGTTTGGAATCGCAAAAGTCAATGGATTTATTGATCTATGAACACTTATATAACAGTGCATACGACCTTGTCAAGAATATTGTTAAAACAAGAAAAACAAATATCACAGACTTTAAATATGGATTACAATAAGAAAACTACAAAATATAAAGTAGTATCACAGATTCAAACATATTTCATAATACTCAAATGACGCCGGAAGATTGCTGACTAGCAGAAGGTTAAGGATTATTCAGACTAGTAAAAGGCAAACATATTATATCTGAAGGCAAATGGTTAAACGTCTAACACCTACAAAACAATGGTTTCTTATAGTTTTAGTAACATAACTTGATCAAAATGGACATTTTTGCGGTTTACTGTGGACCTTCTTATTTAAATTTTTACTATTATAATTACTTTCTTTTGCAACAACAAAACGTTAGTTATTCTGCCAGAATTTCCCAAAAAAAATAATGCCATAAACTAACATAGTAAAACAAAGCATACTAAAAACTGGCTTTACTTACGTCAATCCAGCTCAAATGTAACTGTTGGTTACGGCCGTTTCGGCACCACAATGCCCCATAATCAGGCATTAAATCTCAGCTGAAGCAGTGTCGTCCAATTTACAACATTAAGCAACATTAACATAAAGCCTACTTTTAGCGAATTTCCCTATAGGGAAGTAGCTATTACCGTAGGTGGCACAGTAAGACCTAGACCCGGAACAGATTTACTTTTTCATTTTAGGGAAGTACTCGTAGTTATTACCGTAGGTTGCACTTAGTTCCGGGACTGATATACTTTTCCATTTTGATGTCCCCAGAGGCCAAAAACACTATTCGTTCAAATTTTTATATATGTATGTATATATATATATATATATATTTATTTATATTATATATATTTATTTATATATATATTATATATATTTATATATATATTATATATATTTATATATATATATATATACGTCCGTGAACGCGATAACTTGAGTAATTTTTGTCCGATTTTGATGAAATTTGGTTTAAAGGTGTAAAGCGGAATAAACTTGAATGAGTTCGCGAACCAGCACGATCGGACCATGGGAACGGGGCTTTACGGGGGGTTTTATGGGGTAAAAATTGGTTTTTCTCACTTTTGACCCTCAAAACACAAAATTTCCCAATTTCTCTTTAGACCTTTTTAAAGAGCTTAAAAAACAAATAATTTAGTATTTAAAAGTATTTTTTTTCGATTATTAGTAACGGAGAAAATTTAAAAAATTGTAATTTTAAAATCCCCATGTTATTCTTATGGAGAATATTGTCAAATGTTGTAGTTTGCTAGTTTATAAATATATTTTGATCAAACTTGGCAAATTTATTTATTTTGTACTAAGCTATCAATATTTTACTCAAAAACACACTTTATTAGTTTCCTTGTAGCAGCAAACCTAGGTACTCGTTAAACCTAATGTTATTAAAATATATTTAACTGAAAATCAATTCAGACAAATGGAAATTCGCTTAGTCGGCAGGTTTGCTGCGGCGGGGGTATATTTAGTTACGTTACAGCTCAGAGGCTGTAAACGTGGATTTTATAGCTTAATGAACAGACAACAAATAACTAAAGGAACTTTAAAGGTTTTAATAAATATACGACCTTGGACAATTTACTGCAGACTTTAACTATTTGGCTGTTCCGAGTTAAGTTACAATCTATTGTATTCCTAGCAATTGTAAGCATTAAAAAATTCATCTGAACGAGTCTACTATTCAAGGAGTTTATAGCCTTTTGTTGAATTATTAATTCTAAAACCATTCGCTCTAAACCATGTGATTCAGAGTTTCATCAGCAATACTATTCACAGGTTGCAAAACTTAACTAACTGTAGAGAAGGATGTGTCGTCAGCAAACATGATGGTTCTCAATTACTTGAAATTATAGGGTAGATCATATACCGTGACAAAAATAAAACTGGTCCTAAAACAGAACCTTGTGGCACACCCAGTTTGACATGAGAAGCAGATATATACCAGCAACATTAATAATTTGGAATCTACCATCCAGGTACGACCTGAAGAAATCATGCTGAACTCCACGAAAACCCAGACACTGCAATTTATTTTAGATTATGTCATTTAGTGTAAAATGATGTATCAGTTTTGGCTTTGCAACCAATTTAATAAGTTGGTGGTTTGTATAATAATGTGACATTGCATATCAAGATAGCGTCACTCATCCTTCACTCAACTCCATTCATACTTGGCTTAAAATACGTACGTTTGTACGGTTGCCATTTCAGATAAAATTTATGTTCCTTAACTCATAAAGGAATGTGAACATTAATCAGGGTAAAGATATCTAAAAATACAGGGTATTGGGGAAATAACAAAAAGTGCAACAAGAATTTGATTTTTTTATTCATTTGAAAATGGCATCAAATGAATAAAATAATCAAATTCTGATTGCACTAAAATGTTTGTATATTAGACAGAGCTTTGACATTATGTATAGTATTACTGAAATTCGAACTTAAACCTTCACTTTTCTTTTACAAAAAAAAGAACAAAAACATTTAAACTATTTAAAGCCGTTCCAATGGATTATGTGGTTCGGGGAGAAGCTATTTATTTCATTTGATCATAATTGATACCACATTGAATATAATTGATTAACACGCTCACAAGGTGACAATGCAATATCAATATTTAACCATAACAAAACAGAACAAAAATTACTTACTATTGTCCTCGTGTAAATTAAGTCTTGAAACAAATCTGTATTTTTTAAACCGAAATAGATAGAAATATTCTGTTTGTGGCGTTGACTGTTAACAAAGGTTCCGTATTTTTTACATTAAAAATATTTTTTAACCCCCTAACAGGGTAGGGGATGACTTATTTTGTTCAAAAAGCAACCCCTATGGAGTGATCCCTCATTTTGAAGGATTTTTCAAAAGAAACACAATGACGCAAACTCAAGGTGGATATCTCACCCCTAGCCGAAATAACAGGAATTCCAAAATTTTATTTACTGAATGTGAAAAAGCACAATTTTCACAAATATGGAAACAAATCTGTATTTTTAAAATCGTAAAATTAGAAATAATCTGTTTTTGAAATTGGTTGTTAACATTGGCTCAGCAATTTTTTAAATCAACAATATTTTTAACCCCTTTAACAGGGTAGGGGATGTGGGTGATTTATTTTGTGATAACAACCCCTATTGAGTAACCCCTTATTTTGAAGAGTTCTAATTTTTAAGGCATTTTCAAAGAACCAACATTGTCTCTTTTGCACATTGATCCCGTTGTAAGGCACGGGTATAGCTGCTAGTATTTTTTAACAATGTAAGAAGATTATTTACACTTAAATTCAGTGCTAAAATTACTCGTTTATAAATAGCCAATATTGGGGTAAAAAATGATGATCGAAAATGTTTGATTAAATTCTAATTTACATAAAATAAATATAATAGTTTGAAATACTTAGTAGTTATAATATTGTTTGAAATGTTAAAATTGGCAAGGAAGGCTTTGCAAACAGCGTTGCTGGAAAATATACTAATCTTTCTTCCCGTTGCGAAGCACGGGTGCAGCAGCTAGTAGAAAATGAATGTCACATAATTTTTAATAGGCTATACAATAGTCGAGCATGGTTCAAGGACTAACAGATTATTTCACAACTTAGCACTTCAAGGACTCGCTATCTGCCACTGAGGTTCCAGTCATCCATCATTTAGTCAGTAGGACATCGAAGTTCATGTCTGCAACTATTAGGAGCTCCAAAACGAACAAGGTACATTGTTTCCACAAACTGTAATATCTTAATTTGTCTTTTTGCTTCGCAGAAAAATAATGAGATAAGAAAATACTGAGTCTTTGGTTGGTTGAGAATTCTTTTTACAGTATTGATGAGTTTTATGAAGCTGATAGTAGCATGCTGTTTATGTTAGATTAGACTAAACTCCTTTTACCATGCTTATTTATTTATTCATTTATTTCTGTGGCGATCTAGTGTTCTATAATTTGATATATTTGAGTCTATAAATTAGTCTTTATATTAGGTTTTAATAACACCTTTGTTCCTGTGATAGCTTTTACTGTTCAATTTTTGAGAGGTGTATCACTCCTTTGCATGTTGTTCATGCTTGCTCAGGCCAACTGTAATGTATTTTATGTATTGCTCGTAGCTTTATTTTAATTTTTACATAACACCCTTGTACTTGTTCATTATTATTACTTCTTTATTTATGTATTCCTTTGCCTAGGCTAGTTTCCATAATGCTTGTAACAGTGTTTTACATTTGCATGTATTGTTTTTTGTCATTGTATTTTATTGCATGTTGCATGACAAGATCTCATATGTTTGACCAATAGAACCATATGTCCAATAACATATGTTTTATGTGACTACATTTTTTAAAAATATTCTAATATTTACTCTTTTGCGTACATGCAAATGGGCGTAAAACCAGTTTTAGCTCGAAAATATCAAATTGTTTACAATTTTAGTTCTAGATTGTGGGTTGAGCGTCTTTTAAAACAAATATAAAGCACATTAAAATTGTGGGTTGATTTGCAAGTTGTATGTTATCAAAATTTTTATTTACCATACGACCACACGTCCATTGTTGCTTAATCTCCTTTTACACTATGCAGAAATAACAGGATTGGGATGGCTGAACCAGTTTTAGCTTCAAAATGTCAGGTTACTTGTAGCTTAAGTTCTTGTAAGGCGATTTATAGCTAGTAAAAGTTTACACGATATCCGGTAAGGAAATGCAAAAAACTTAGGAATAGATTTTACGGGTAAAAATAAAACTAAAATCAATTTCAAACATTTAAAAGTAGACTAATAAAGAGATTTTTATGGATTTTGTTATACGATTTGAAATAGCCATAAACCATTTGCGTAAAATTAATCATTAGTAAACGGCATCAGCTATCTGACACACTTTTCCCATTGGCTTGCCAACAACCCTACATAGGTAAGTGGTGGGAGAAAATATGGTATTATATTGGTAACATCGGAAATGTTATTCTTAAACTGTGATTTTTACTGAAATAGGGGGTTTTCAGTTTTGCTTAGAGTTAAAAGAACTACAACATACACTTTTTTATCAAATCCTTTTGGGCCGTTTTTGGAAAAATTATACTTTCCTTATTTTATGGAAAATCACTATAAGAAACTAAATAAAACCTGGAGATACCATAGACTGATACCCACATAACAAATTTCATCAAGTCGAAATACATGTCTGCCTGTAGCTCTGTACACATCCACACATACACACACAGACATCCATCAAAAACTTAAAGTCGTTACAAAAACAGTTAATACAAAAACAAAACATTCTTCATATTGAAAGAAAGTATAAATGTTTTTATTAAAAAATGGTGGTCATTATAAATGTTATAACTTAAGTTACTTATAATTGATTATGGTTGATCTTGTGAAAGAATGTTAATAATTTTATATAATAAGATTTTAGAATTTTTCTATCAAACGAAATCAATATCGAGCTCAAATAATAAATACCTGAAAAATTACGACTTTTAGTTCGTTTCACTCAAATACATTTAACATATTTAATATCAACCGGATTTAGTACCGATATAGCAAAAACAAGATATAAGATTGAGTGGGGAATTGAAACCAAGATTGGTACGAGAGTAATATAAGTGTGCTATTACATTAACAGCATGGATAGTGGTACAAACAAGAGTACTGCGTGAGTTGTGGTGTGGAAAATTAAAATTGAGTTGTCCCAGCGAGTCTCAATCAACCAGAACTCGGTTCACCAGTTTATGGAGATAAGATAAGGCGGCCAACTTCCTTTGTGACCCAGCCTAGTTATATCAAATATGTTTAAGAGCTGGTTGTATAGAACATTGAATGTATAATGACCAAATGTTTTAAAATACAACCTTCAACATCTTTTTTGAATCACTTCAACCATATTTTCAATATAAAGCTGATGAGGATACCATACAACTTATGCATATTCTAAACATGAGCCAAATAATAAAAAAAATAGTTATTTTATTGAATTCAAGTTTTTTTAGAAGGACGTAATATCTATGAATGAAACCTAAAACCGAATAGGCTGCCTTACTAGTGGTTAACGCATGGCAAATATAAATTAACTTTTGAAAACAACACCAAGATCTTTAACACTGACTTTCTACATTTGATAACACCATCCATTGTATAAGGAAAGTTCACGATAGTTTGGCTAGTTTTACTTTTGTGAGTCATAATAACCATTTAATTATACATGATATATTGTCTTTACTAAAATCAATTAGTTCATCAATATTAGATTTTAGCTGTTAAAAACCCAAGATGGTGTCGACTTTTTTTAAATTTTCAAATCGTAGGCGAAAATTAAAATACGACTATGTTTTGGGTTGTATAATTTACTAGCAGAGCACCCGTCCTTCGTACGGGGTTGGCATTTAAGTATAAAACGCTTATTGCAGTTATACTCAAATTTTGCGTTTGCAATGGGGGAGGACACAGTTTGATAAAATTTGGTTCATAAATTTATGGTACGATATAGTATAACACATCTACCATTGCCATAATGTTCTACCACTGCAAATTAACAATAGAAAAACATAAATTATCAAATATTCGCATGATATCACAAATTATTCATTAAATTAAAAACTCAAACCTTACTGTAAACAATCCTACTTTAACAGTTCTCATTGTGTATCACTGCTTTTTGTTGCTGCTTAGTTCAAATTAGCTGTTGCCATATATAAAAAAAACAAATTAATAATAGTGCTGCACCCTGTTGGGAAGCCTTGTAACTTTTAATGCTATTGCATATTATAGAACCAACTTGTACAGTTCAAACAGCTGACTAAATACTTTAATCCCCTTTAAATATGAATACACATAAGGTTAACACGGGGAACTACAGAGCCACAGGGGCGGAGCCCGAAATTATTTTTGAGATATAAGAATATGCCTAAATATTAATTGGGAATGTGAGTTATCATCATGCCAAATTTCAGGCCAATCCGTCCAGTAGTTTATGCGTGATTGAGCAACACACAGAAAAACACACAAACTTTTAGATTTATAATATAAGTAAGATAAAGAATAAAAAATAAAGGCTCTAAATGTCCTTGGGGTACACCTGAGGAGGCCACCAGAAATGATTAACTCTATCAAATACTTTTTTGAATTCTCTGTACACAAAATCAACGTGAATGTTTTGTTAAATAGAATTTATAACGTAATGTAAACATTTTATCAAATTCTTATTAATTAATCTACCAGGAAGAACTATGTTGATAATGAATGATAATATTTTATACGTGACCGAACAATATGATGTACAGTATAGTATGTACTCAAAGACCGTGGCTAACTGAAATAGGTCGATGATTTTTTATCATTTTGAACACCTTTTTTAATTGCGACTACTTTTACTATCTTCCAAATGTCTAGAAAACAATTTTTTTTTTTCAAAGATGAAAATGAATTGAAGTGTATTGACTAAAATATCAGCACAGTCCTTTGAAAAATAAGGAAAAACATCATCAGCACCTAATGATCTTTTTGATTTTAGTTCTTTTCAAAGCATTTTAAAACCTTTATTTCACCAATCTCAGAAATTATCAATGAATTGACATTCGCCATGTCGAGCAGAGCACCTGGCGTACAAGGTCGTTGGGTTTGTAAATAGATTGATAGAAATTAACCAACGCCTTTGCTATCTTATCATTTAGCTAAATTTCCTCATCCTAAGATTGCATCGTTCGAGTACCTTTATCAATTGACAAGGTTACTGACCTATCGTCAATCGATCCTACGATTTCTCGTGGATAACTAGTTTCTTTTTATTTTAACCTATTTTAGAATATCATCTGATTTTCTATTGATGTTATATACTCATAGAAACGACGAATTGTACTTTTGCAGACTATAACCTCGTTGCTGTTGGGCCACTGTAAGTGTTAAATTATGTCAAACTTTTCCACTATAAGAGGCATAATTTCAAATTTTATTCCGCCTTTTAGTAAAAGTGAGTTATTAAGAATTAATTATATCAGTGGTGAAACAAGAAATTAATGACCAGCATTCGATGCACCAGATTTATGTTAACTCATGAATGGGATAGGAGTCCCAGGGTTTGGCTACGGCTCACACATAACCTTAGGTAGTCCATTTAAACATGTATGACGACAATATCACTATAAGCCATAACTTAAACCTAATCCAATGCTGATTACATTACCAAGATCAAACCTGACCAAAATATTTCTTAAAAAGAAAATCCCAACATCAAATAAATAAAATAAAATAAAAACAAGCAGCAGCAAACCTGCAGACTTAGCGAATCTCCATTTGCCTGATTGGATTAACACTAAAATGTCTCCTAAAAATTCCCTATTTAAACAGAACTAGTTTAACGAGTACTTAGGTTTGCTGCAACTGGGAGGGTAAAAAAGGTTTTTTTTTTTGTTGTAAAATGTTAATACTATAGTTTAGTAAGAAATTAATGTATTTTCCAAATTTGATCAAAACATGTTAATAAACAAGCAAAATACAACAGTTGACTTATTCTCCATAAAAAATAACATGGGAATTTGTAATTTACAATTTTTAACGCTTCAATATACTAAATAATTTGTTTTTTAAGCTCTACAAAATGGTTTGGAAAGAAATGTGAAATTTTGTCTTTTTAGGGTTTCAAAATGGGAATACCCTATTTTTGCCCCATAAAACCCCCCATTAACCCTCGTTCCCATAGTCTAATAATGCTGGTTCGCGAACTCGTTCGAATAAATATAGGTTTACACGTTTTTACAAAATTTCATCAAAATCGGATCATTTTGCTCGCGTTATCATGCTAACGGACATATACATGAATTTGAATGGATGGTGTTTTTGGATTCTAGAGACTTCAAAACGAAAAGGAAATCGGTCCTGGGTCCAGGTCTTACCATGAGTACTACGGAAATAGCTTATTCCCTATATAAGAAATTCTCTAAAAACAAGAGAACTTATGAAAATTGTGGTCGTTGAACAATACAAATTATTTTCAGTTGCGGACAGTCGTTTAAAGATGCTGTCCCCAATAATCGCGGTCTAGTGTTATTAGGCAACGGAAGTTCTAGAGAGGAAGGAAGCTTACCAACAATATTTTGTCTACACGAGAGTAGTTTGATGGCTAAAGAAATAACTTGAATTAGGGCTCCAATGTTCTTTGTATTTTGCAAATGGTTTTTAGTGTGAGTGGATTGCTGACAAATTATGACGTATTTACCTCATGCAAGTAGTGAAACTTAAAGGTAAATTCATTTTGCGAATATTAGGACTATATACGTTTTTATTGTTTCAGGGTCAATGGTGCCAGTTAACTATGGCTCAACCTGCTGTCGTTTTGGAAGAATTTTAAGCTGATGTCTTCCTGAGGAGTTCATAGAAATCAGCAAATTATAATTATATAATTATTGGCCTCAAGAGCTTATCCTACTGGAGTAGCAGCACTTAAAATGCCGTCCAGAAGATCTTCTGATGATCCAATGCAACATGAAGAAAAATTAAGACTTGAATCAGAAAATGAGGCGAGCAATAACATCGAGAAAAAAGAACCTGTTCCCATTAAGATTGAATACTATTCACCCGAGAAGATTTTCTGTGATGAGTACATTAAAGATGGTGAGACACGAGAAAATAAGCCAGAAGGGATGGCTGGAACCGACAACATTGATTTAATAATGTCATTTTACCATTGCAGATATACAAGAGAAAATATCCAAGGAACATACAATGAAATGAATAATTATTCCAGAAATGCTGGAGCATTGCAGTTGTATAAAAAAGATGGAAGAACAAAGTACACCATACCAGGCAAAGAGGGAAAGGAATACAATACTATTTCACGTACAGTAGCGTATGGAAAATGTACACTGGGTCATACTGAGAGGATCTTGATGAGAAAAGTGCTGGATGTTCTAATTGAAGATGAGTGTAAGAGATTAGGTATCCCTCCACGGCCTAGTGACTACAAGAAAGCCTACAATGACGATTACCAAGTTTTAGAAAATATGACAGAGAAAGCCAATGAATACAAAAAATATTTAGAAAGCAAAGAATTGATAGTCAAGATGTGGTCTGAGCGACCGCCATGTGAAGGAAAGGATGGTATAGGGGAAGATTGTTCTACTTTTATTCAAAATATATGTCCTGCGGGCAGTCAGTATGGCTACATAGTTAAAGATTACAATCCAAACGAATCGGATAAAATCGAACTAGTACGCCATGCGTTTGAAAGGTTATTCATCGCCTATCTAATACACTCACAAACAAATGTAAAGTTTCAGTACTATCTACCAAACACCATTTTCTCTTCCCTGAATAAACCTGAAGAAATGGCTGGTCCTAGCAACATTCATTTAGTGACATCGTTTTATCACAGCAGATATAATGAGGAAAATCGTATAAGACCTCATGGGGAAAACTTTTCTTTGAACGCTGGAGCAGTACAGCTGTACAAAGCTGATGGTACAACTGAACACCACATACCAGGGAGAGAGGGCAAGGAATATAACATTTTATCAAGTGAATGTGTTTGTGAGGAGTTGATGGCTATAGTTTTGAAAGACCTCAGAAATGAAAATGTCGGTAATACCCAAACAAGTGAAAACTCTACCGATATTCAAATAACAAAACCTTCAAAACACTTCAAACCTGATCCTATCATGTGCAGACAATATTTGGAGAAGAATAACTTGATCGTCAAGATGTGGTACGAACGATTACGCGTGTGGTGTGTTAAATTCTTAATTGACATTTGTCCAGCGGGAAGTCAATTCGGTTACATAGTTGATGAGCATTTTGATCCAGCAGGATATGACAAACAAGTAAAATATGCTTTTGATGAATTTCGTTTAGCTTTTGAACAAAATTGCAAATCTTTGGATTAAGCATGAAGTGATTCGCAGAACGATTGACTTTGATTATCACTAGAAGATTCAAAAAGAAGATTTTTATTTATTAGAATTTCAAACAATAATTGAATTATTTGATTATGTGTTAAACTAAAATTTGAGATGCCGCACTACTTAAACCCAGGGCTCAGTCAAATACCTCTAAAGGGAAAAAAAATAAAAAATAAATTGTTTTTAATTCTTTTTAATATGAACAAAGCATTATTTTGAAAATTTGCACGTAGACAGAAACAGCTTATTTTAATTATAATTCTTTTACTTTCTCCCCCTATTAAACCTATAAAATAACGGGAACGTCGGGTTTTCTCGAAAATGGATTTCAGTCCTTTAAATTCTGAACTAAATGGTACAAATCCCACTACCGTAAAAATTGCGGTTCTAAAGCTATTGCAACTTATGCTATTTACCCATAAAAACCTCATAAAATTACAAATATCGGATTTTAGAAAAATAGCAGTTTCGACTAAAAATATTGTCCTTTAATTTTTTTACTAAATTGGATTTTAAGGGAAAAACTGGTATTGATTAAATCTAATATGATATGGCCCTTATATCAAATGTAAAAAAGATAATGACTTAGATTTTGTGTTTTCATAATATTTGCTCAATCAATCAATTAATTAATTTGTATTAATGTTAGTGAATTCAAGTAAACGTATGGTTATTTGTTTAAAATGTAATGAAGAAAATGACTTACGTTAGATTTTGTGGTAATTATGGACTGTGGTTGAAATATCGTACTTGTGAAATGATTTTTTAATTTTTTATCATCATTAAAGTTCGTTTTACCTTTTCATGCATGATTTAATTTTGTATTAGAAAAACCATTTACAAAGTTATTTTCAAGGTTTGCTTTAGTCAGTGTTAAGTTAATGATTATCACGTAAAAATAAATAAATTTCTATTAAACTCGGAGCAATAACAATTTTTAGATTAATTCAAATAAAATTACGGACTTTGAAGTCACAAAGTGACGTTGGCTGAACGTTAAAAAAACAAAATTGTTCAATTGAACTTAGTCTTATTATTATATTATCTATAATTTCAATATGAGATTGGAATTACTGATTCCCCTTAGTCAATACAAAGCTAAGGTAGTACGTAGATTATATATAATTTTAAATACATTATTAGATTGTGAGGCAATTGAAGTCTGTATATTACAGATTGAGTACCCGTTTAAAGGTTTGCTTAAGTTTGCTTGTTTGTCTAAGAGCTTTGTCAATGTTTTTCCTTCCTTGGCTAGATAGAATTATTTAAATTGAACAGGAAATAGCTATTTTATAAGTAATACCCATTTTCGTACTATTCAATTTGTCAGAAATCATTAGTACTTCAATACAAATATTCTAAAGATTATGTTCTTAAGCTATTTTAAAATTTAGTCATTAAATTTGCACGCTAATATATGTATTGTTTTATCTGTATTAAGTTTGAATTGTAATTTTAGTATACTGTATTTCCATGATTATATATATCAAAATTGCTACAATTTGTTTATCTCCTACTTCTATACCTAACCAATTAACCATTTAAAAAATGTTAACCTTGTGGTGTTTTCCTAATAGAGCATTTGTTAATGATTTCCCATACTTGGTTGATTACTTGAGTTATATTTGAAGAGTGTGAAAGACATGAACTCGGTTGACACTTGTTATTATCTTTTTTTTAATACATAAATCGGTAATGTTTTGGTTATTGTCCATTTTATTTAAAATACAAGTTAAAATACTTGTTGAAACTTACTATGTAAGCAGCATGTATATAAATATAAGCAGTATAAATATATATATAAAAGGAAGTGTATCCTTTGCTCCTTGAACATAAATTGGAAGGCTTAACAGTATAGCTTTGACAAAACTGATATTAAAGGTAAACGAAAAACATTAAGGAATTCGATTTGCAATACAAAATAGCCACAATCAATCTCAACTGACAAAGACAATCTTTCATTTTACGTGACTTGCTCACGTCTAGCAAATTTTTAGCATATTATGTTTGTAGTCAACTTTTACAGAAAATAATACAACACAAATTTTGGTAGGATATAAATTATTGGAGCACGTTTCAAGGATTGTAACAGATTATGTATTTTACAAAAGAGTTCCGTTTAAACTTTTACTGTTCTAAACAAGACGGTAAATCTATATACAAGATGGTAAGTGGTGATCGATTTTGATTGGTCACTCCAAACATCATCAGATCCAATAGGCGAATGAGATTATTTCACAAGTAGGCACTTCAAGGTCTCGCTATCAGCAACTGTGATTCGGCCGTTATTGAGTCAGTAGGGCATCAAACTTCTAGTCTGCAACTGTTAGGAACTCCAAAACGAACAAGGTACACATTTCACATAAGTTATAATGTCTTAATTTGTTTTTCAATCGAATTTTATATGACACTAAATTATTTTGCCAACTATATATAATAAAATTGGTTATACATCTTCTATTTGCCACTAGTGCACAATAATGTGTGGCATACATGTAAACTTTGTGTAAAACCAGTTTTAGCTCCAAAAATGTCAAATTATTTACAATTTGAGTCGGGGATTGTATGTTGAGGGTTTTATGAGACAAATATAAAATAGCCACGTTAGAACTGTAAGTTGATATGCAAGTTTGATGTGACCAAATGTTTTAGTAATCATACAATCAACGCTCATCGTTGTACATTTCTCTTTATGATTATTGCGCAACACTTTGCAGAAATAAAACAGAATTAGGATGGTGAAAATCAGATTTTACTTCAAAAATTTCAGGTTGTTTACAATATTAGTAGGACATTTGTAGGTTAAAGTTTTTGTGAGGTGAATATTAACTAGTGAAATTTCCTGCGCTTCTCATGAGGAAATGTAATAATTTAGGAAACTAAAATAAATTTTAACATTTATCATATAAACGCTTCGATAGCGAGACATCTGTCATCAACTTTTTTCTCCATTCAAACCTTTAATAGTAGCCTAATAAAGATAATTTTATGTATTTTGTTATACCATTTGAAATAGCAACTAACTATGTGTGACAAATAATCATTAATAAACGGCATCAGCAATCTGACACATACTTTCTCCCACTAGCTTGCCAACAACCCTTATCAAACGGTGGGAGAAAATATGGTATTTTATGGGTAAAATTGGAAATTTACAATCAAATAAAACTATTTATAAGGTAATTTGACAATACATTGCATTAGCTAAGTCAAACATCAAATAATTAGAAACCATGCTACTTGACTATTTCCTTCTGGTTTTTAAGAGGCAAAGAGAAAGATATTTAAAAATTTATTTCTACTAACTGATTAAAGTTTATATCTTCAAACTTCTACTATTTACACGTCATGGTCAAGGCCCTGTGTTTTAATATCTCCTGTATGATGTAACACGATATTTTAATAACGTTGTTTTATGCATAGTTTAAATTTTGAGTGGTCAAAATCTGTGGTCACCGGTGAGTTTCACAATTGAGTGGTCACCGAATCTACTACCAATTTCAAAGAAATAGTGAGGTTATAATATTGTGATTTAGTATATTACGGTTATATAATTCCGTAGTAAAGTGTGTTAAAAAAAAGATGTAATATGTTTAGGGATTGGTAATTATGAGAGCTTTTGAGTGAATATGGGCGAATACGGGGGTTTCTGTTTCGGTGAATAGTAAAAGATTTTGTGTTACCAAGGCTCGCCTTTCAAAATTCAACCTTTCAAAACCCTCAGATTTCAAGAATCTAGATCGATGGAAGAGTCAAAATTTAAGATTCTTGAAGAAACTGTTCAACAGGCGTTTAGGCAAAGGAATTTCTTTAACTTCCCTTTTAAAAAAAAATAAAAATAATTTTTGCTTAGTATTTTCATAACACCAGGTATAACATACGCTAAATGGCAATAGATAAGTCCGTAATATGCTGATATAAAAACCTCATTATTAGCAGATTTATTTAAACTAACCATTACAAAAATGCCAGTACTTAATTTCTTTGAAACCTGTTTAACGTGATTTTAGAAATCGAAATTTTCATCTAGGGCCAGTCCCAGAAACTTTGTCAGTTGGGTAATCTGTTGTGCCATTTAAAATTAGACTGAAACCATTAAAGCATCTTTTTGAGATAGAAAAAGTGCATGAGCAGTGTTTTTTGGTGTTGACGAAAAGATAATTGTTATCAAATCACTCAATTAAATTAATGGGTTCACAAAAGGTCGTGAGTTGCAACCTCTTGATATCGCGACCGGAAATTGATAGTGAGTCATCATCAGCAAATAGTGTTGCTGTAGCGGTTGATGTGCATGATTAGGATGTTAAAACATGAGAAATAGTGTGGGTCCTAACAAAGAGCCTTGGGGCACTCCTCAAAATGATGGTCTTAACAGAGGAACAGGGGCAAATGAACCCGAATCTACTACCTGTGTTCTGCCACGCAGTAAGCAATCCAACTCAAGGCTACTCCTCTGATTCTTACTTTATCCATGTGCCATAGTATGTCATGATTGACTGTATCAAACGCCTTTCTCAGGTCAAAAAATATTCGTGCTGGATAGTATTGTAATTAAAATCTCTTACAACTCTGTTTAAGAGGTCAAACACAGCAGTTAGGGTGGAATTTCCTTAGAAAACATGCATTTTAGATAATAACAATAACTTTTGAACCGTAATATTAACAGTAACGTTGTTGTTAATGCTTTGTTTAGAGTTCATTGGACTACCACATACTGCATTTTGATTCAAATTGTTCGGGCCGTTTTTTGAAAATTCTATTTTCCGTTATTTTATCGGTTTTATCAAAAAATCACCATAAAAATCACAAAATGAAAAAAACACCGGTAGATACCATGGATTGGTACTAACATACCAACATATATTTAGGTTCATACTGTTAATTCATAGCTAACTATATGCGTTACAAGTGTTATTATACATATCTCTTATTTACTTTCAGTAAATTTAATAACACGTACAATGCTGATCAAGAAGTTATTCAAAAACAAAGAAAAATCTTTTGACGAAAACAATACTTTCTCTATATACTCTATATGGAGTATTATCTATTCTACAGTGTATATTTTATATTTATAATGGCTGAAAATTTGATACAATTTGAAGTGTTAGTTTCAAATTTGTGGCTATTTAAAATATTATAACTTAAGCTACTGAAAAGTGATTGATTTTATGAAAGAAATAAAAGACTTTCTTATATTTATATTTTAGAATGATTCTGTTAAACAATACCTATTTCGAAAAGTTCAAATAATAAATAGCCTAGCATTATTATACAGGGTGATTGAAATAAGTGTGCCAGCTGTTTTATTCGAAAGTTATAAGAGATATTGAAAAACTGTATAATATTACTGCCTTGGATTTTTTTATTTAAAAAAATTGGTCAAGTTCAAAAATAATTTTAGCCTCAATTATTCCAACATGGCCGCTTACTTAGATTTTTATATGAAAGACCCTATATTTTATGAGTTTTTAGAAAGTAAATGTCATTTAAAAACGTTTTTATTCCTGGCATTTTTCTTTTAAGCTACTCATTTATGAGTTACAGCGTGTTAAAACTAAAACAAAATGACTTGTGGTGTACATTTTGCGTCTTGCATGTCCTATACGAGTAGGTTTAGAGGGAAAATGCTAAGAGTAAACAAGGTTTAAAATTGCTTCTAATCCTAAAATGACTATTAGATAAAGATATTGATTCTATTATTTAAAAAATGGCAGCCATTACCCAAAAATAACAGAAGGTTTCAAAAAAGAGAACTATTTATTTTATGGGGTTTATTGAATGTAGATGCAATTTTAGGACTTATTTAATCTCTTAACCTGCTCAATTAGGAGGTAAATGGCGCAGATTGTACAGTGTACACTGCAAGTAATTTTTTTCTTTGTTGTAACTCCTAAATGAGTAGCTATAGAGAAAAAATGCCAGGAATAAAAACGTTTTTAAATAGCATTTAATTTTTAAACAATGCATAAAATATAATGTCTTACGTAAGAAAAATCAAAGTTGGCGGCCATAATGGAAATATGGCGGCTTATTATTTTTTCAACCCGACCAAAAGTTTTTAAAATAAAAAATCCAAGCCAGTTACAATTGAAATTTTTCGATATATCTTACAAATTTCGAGTAAAACAGCTGGCACACTTATATCGATAAACCTGTATATATGATTGCTTAAGCATCACTATATATATGATTGGGGAATCTGATCGGATATAGTATTAGACCTAGATGAGTCGTTGTTTGAGAATTTCTGACGGTTAAAAACACGATTTTGGCTACAAGACACACTCGTATTATCAATTTGATTTCTTGCGTTAACCTTATTAAATCTGTTGTCATCTTTTTCAAACCCAGCTGAGGCTAGCCCTTTTAAACATTCTGTGTGTGACGAAAATTTCACTAAGCCATAACTTTAACCTAATCCAATGCTGAGGAAAACATTACCAAGACCAAACCTGGTTAAAATGTATCCAAACGCAAACAAAATACCAACTCTCAAAAAAATAAACAATAGAACTTTTTTAACTAGCGGTCATATAACAACAAAATTCTTTGCAGACAGATGTTAAAAATTACCGTCACCAATAATCGCTGCCTGGTTAGCATATATCGAGGTAATGATGGACATTGGCAACGGATATATAGAGGAAGGAAGCTTACTCTCAATTCTTTGTTAGCACGAGAGTTGTTTGATCCCTAAAGTAAAATTGATACAATTTTTTACATTGAATGGACACATCCTTCGAATTCGACAATGTACAGTTGTATTCAGTCAGTCACCCTGGCTTCGGTTAGGACTCAAACAGTTTGTAAAGATTTATGTGTTAGCAATACTTTTTTATATGTTAGCACTTTAAGTGTCATTAAAGTGCTAACACATAACGAAGTATTTACAGCATGAAGGTAGCGAAAGTTTAATAAGGTGAATTCATTTAGCGGAAGTAAAAAAGGTTTGTTGTTGTTTCAGGATCAATGGCGCCAGTTTACTAAAAATCAACCTGCAGTCGTTTCGGAAGAATTGTAAGCTCAAAGGAGGTCTAAGAAAACTGAAAATTATATAATTATTGTGTACAAAAATTAATTAATCTGACTGGAGATGGAGAAGACTTAAAAATGTCCAAAAGACCTGCTGATAAACCAACACTAAGTGATGGTAAAAAATCAAAACTTGGAACGGAAAGACTTGTCACTGAGGAAAAGGGACCTGCTTCAATCAATATTGAATACTATCCGCCCGAGTTTATTTTCTATGAGGAGTATACAGATAAATATGGAAATAAACGAGTGAATAAGCCAGAAGGGATGGCTGGACCCAACAACTCTGATTTGGCAAAATCATTTTACCATAGCAGATATACAGCTGAAAATAAAATAGGCACCAGCAAAAGGATGGGGAAATATAAAAAAAATGCTGGAGCATTACAGTTGTATAAAAGAGATAGAGTTACAAAGTACTCTATACCAGGCAAAGGGGAAAAGGAATATACAGCTGTTGCGAAAACGATTTTCACTGATGCTGAAAAACATAAAAATCTCCGTGCCAAAATAAATTCGTTAAAAAATTCTACTGAAAAAATTACATTTGGCCATACCGAGATAATTTCGCTTAGAGAGGCACTGAACGATCTAAGAAATCTTATTAATGAGATAATTTCGCAGGGACTGAACGATGGAAGAAATCATATGGAGATAATTTCGATTAGAGAGGCACTGGACTATCTAAGAACGCAACTAGTTGATACTGAGGGCAATGAAAAAACTACTTTTGGCCATGCAGACGGAATTTCTTTTAAAAATGAACTTAATTCTCTAATAAAGAATCTGGCCAAAGTTGATGTTTATAAAACTACCTTTGGCCATACCGAGAAAATCTTGATGAGAAAAGTGCTGGATGATCTAATTGAAGCTGATCGAAATAAAGCTAATTCTGAGAAATTAGGTATCCCTCCAAAGCCTAGTGACTACAATGACAAAAGTCCCCATGATCATGACTACAAAGTGTTTAACAATTTGATAAACAAAGCTAATATGTACAAGCAATATTTAGAAAGCAAAGAATTGATAGTCAAAATGTGGTCTGAGCGACCGCCATGTGATTGGAAGGAGCGTATAGGGGGAGACTGTTCTACTTTCATTAATGATATATATCCTGAGGGTAGTCAGTATGGCTACATAGTTGAAGATTATAATCCAGAAGATGAAGATAAAACCGATGCAGTACGTGATGCGTTTGAAAGGTTTGTCAAAGCTTATCAAAAATACGAACAACAATCAAACAATCAACAAACAAAAACTAACACTAATCCTGAAGCTGGTCCCAGTAAGTAACATTCATTTAGCGACATAGTTGGTATCATGCCAGATACAATGAGGAAAATTAGATAAGACCTTATGGGGAAAAGCATTCTTTGAACGCTGGAGCAGTACAGCTATACAAAGCAGATGGTACAACTGAACACCACATACCAGGGAGAGAGGGCAAGGAATATAACATTTTATCAAGTGAATGTGTTTGTGAGGTGTTGATGGCTGTAGTTTTGAAAGACCTCAGAAATGAAAATGTCGGTAATACCCAAACAAGTGAAAACTCTGCCGATCATCAAAAAACAAAACCTTCAAAATACTTCAAATCCGATCCAATCATATGCAAACAATATTTGGAGAAGAAGGGCTTGATTGTCAAAATGTGGTGTGAGCGACTACGTGTATGCTGTGTAAAGCTCTTAATTGACACATGTCCAGCGGGAAGTCAATTCGGTTACATAGTTGATGATCATTTTGATGAAGTAGTGTATGAAAAGGGGTGAGGTTCATAACTCCAAGTTTTCATAACTCCAAGTACTTTTAAATACAACATTTCATAACTCCAAGTAAAATTATGTCCAAGTAAATTAAAACCAAAATATCATAAGACCAAGTTTCATAACTCCAAGCGTTCATAGCTCCAAGATTCATAAGTCCAAGTTAAAATAAAACCAAGTAAATTAAAATACAAAATTTCATAACTCCAAACGTACAGATTTGCAAGGACCACAAGTCCAATTTTCATAACTCCAAGGGTTCATAACACCAAGTTTCATAACTCCAAGTGACAATGGGTACAGTCCGTGCAGGAAACGATAACGTACGCACACACACGCACCCATTACACACACACATGCTGGAAGAGAGTTTCCGATGTTGGCGAGACTATTCGAAGTGGTGCGTTCCCTGTCGCTTTGCACGTTCGTCTAAATTGTAATACAAATAGTGAGAGGATGAAATTTACATATTTAAATTCTGCGTAAACTGATGTTTAATACTATATAAATAAAATTTAGTTCGTGCAGATGATTAATTTTTAATAATGAAAAATATGAAAAGGTTGTTCAATGTAAACATGAAAAAGTAAGTGAGCGAGGATTTTTTTTATTTTTTGGTCAGATGAAAACTTTCAGCGAGAAAAGTATAGATGATAAGATGTTCTTCAATTTTTGTTCCAAACATTTTTTCGTAAGACTTTTAGTTTGTCCAATAATCAACTTAGATGACCACCACGAGGTATGAATGAATTAGTTTACGCGCACGGTATTTTAGCAATTGCCGTCTTCCAACAACAATATTAAGGAAATACAGTATTAGTTCACGTTTTAAAATTTCTAAACTATGAAAAATATTTAGTCTTAACTTCTTCAGCTGCATGTACGAAATTTCGAAATTTTTTCTACATAATATTCGTGGTGCACAACGCAAATAAGTCGTAGTGCCTTTTTTCCACTATTTTTCATCTCCTATTTTTCGGAAAAAATTTACACAGGATTAATCCAGGTTAAGGTTTCATCTTGTAGCAAATATAAAATTTGATTATAGTTACAATTACTTGTTCCCTCATAAATCTTTATTCCGTAACAAATATGAGAGTGTATGTTAGCAAAGTAAATTTTACGCAAAATGTCTGTAGTGCATAATGAGTTTAATAAAAAAAAATACCATATTTAAAATTTAAAAAATACTATCTAGATTTGTATGATCCAAACAAGCGGATATAATCTATAGATAGGTCTAAACATTTGGATTTCGAGACTAAATTATCATAGAAATATGTTTTTGAGTAAATACATCTATAGGTACTTAATACCAGATTGTTTTATTTGAGTTAAATCGAAGGTATTTATCATTTAGGTATTATTTAAGTACCTTAATGAGTTAAGTACTTTAATATAAGAATTGATGTCGTCCAGTGGTCAAAACTCGACCACAATCAAAATAAAATATGAACTTATCTATATTCATCCAACGCTGAAAATCAAACATGTGATGATTGTGTACCAGTCTTCAATTTGTTTTGATTTTCTGTATATTTATCGTTGTTATTGCGTCACCAGAATTTTAACTCATAATCCAAATGTTAGTTTTTTGTTTATGTTAAATTCATTTTCGTACTTATTTTTCATCATTTTTTTAATTTATTAAGTTGTTCTGGTTATCTACAGGAAAATATGTTTCTAACAGTATACGTAGATTTTCCTTGCGATGCACACGAGCTGAGAAAAGGGCCTTAAAGAAACATATTTGCCTATTAATATATAGATATAGCTAATACTTGTCATACCAATAAGGAGAATAAATAAGCAGACACAAGAAGGATCTTATTTAAGAAACATAATTTAATGTAGGCTATTCTAATAGCCAGTGAAATTTATTTTTGTAAACCTCACAAGAGAGATAATAGTAATAATAATCGAAAGTATATAGTAAAATTTGTGGGATTCTGTTCACTGCCGCAAACATTTTATCAGTACTGTTCACCTTCGTACTGTAGTACTGGCTCATCCCTTGCTTTGCTTGATACGTTACACGCACAGATCTGTAGTCTTATGTGGACGGGCAAATGCAATGTTTAACCATAGATTAAAAGAAGTAGACATTTTATCTATGGTTTAACAGAGACCACACACCTCTTTGTTTCCCTAGTTGGAACACATAATTCTTCATCCAAACTCTATGGTTCTTGAGAGTCACTTTAATTGTATATACACAACATATGTAAGCAATATCAGTTGTGTGTTTTTAGCTAATTTCCCATATAGGGAATAAGCTATTACTGAAGTACTCATGTAAGACCTGGACCCCGGACAGAATTAATTTTCGTTTTGAGATCCCTAGAGGCCAAAAACACCATCCGTTCCTTTTTTTACATTTTTTAGAGAAATTAAAATATGATATTATGGAGCCATTTATGTTGCAAGCGCTAATAACTGGATGATAGTTAAATAATATGTAGAATTAATTTGTTTGTGGCGTCAAAACATATGTTTATGAGAGTAAGGAATCTGTTACCAATTCTAACTAGTGTACATTTTGCTCGAATTCAAGCAATTGCAAAGTACCGGTATTACAGAAGTTATTTCAAAAACAATAACAGTAATATTTACAATGAGTTTAAAAGAGTCAACTCAAAGCCTACCGGTGTGTATCATATGGAGATACTCACGATGTACATAACAGTAATCAACATTTCCTGTAAATATTTTTACGCCACACTACATTATTTTGACAAACTTCCCATGCAAGGATTTAGTCCAGAAAACAGCTGTTTGCCGCCAGCTTATTCAAATGGGGTTTCATTGCGTACTACTGTGCTGCAACCTGCAATGAGTTTTGCCGGACACCAATCAGCTGATTATACTGTATTTAGGTGGCAGTGAGTGGTTATAAACAAAAACATAACCTCTCTTAGAGGTTATGACTAGTGATTTTTAGTCCTTTAGTTGGTGGAAATATATAAGGATTTGTACGGATTTAGTAGTATGGCGTAAACTATCGTACGTAACTCGTCCAAAATGTGTGTACCGGACTCGTATGGTAATCCCGTACTCGACTTCGTCTCGCACGGGAACGACCACACTCGTCCGGTAAACACTTATTTTCAGGACTAGTAACGTAATATACTATATCATATTTCATAATTTCATAATTTCTGGTGTTGCTTTTTAATGTTTTCTACAAACATTTCCTGACTTATAGCCGCATAAGGTTGTCCATGTTTATCTTCGTTATTGATAAACCTATGCGTGCTACCACCTTTGTCGCCAGCTGTAAGTTTACAAATTTCAGTTATTCTTTAATAAGGATAGAATCTGTTTTTATCACCTTAAGGACTTGCTGTTGTCCGTCACAATTTTATTTGTCCAATTAGTGTATTTTTTGTTTAGTTGCAATAACGTTAATTATATTTACCTGAGAAAATACAGAGTTAAAGACCTTCTGTTGTTCAGTTGATTTTTGTTTCCCTTAGCATTACATGAATAATAATTAAATGCCTTCAGTAAAATGTTAGTAAGGGGCTCTTGGATATTTTCATAGGCTATTATTAAAATTGCTTGACTTGTATGAAAACATAGATTAATGTCATTGACGTACCAGATTTATTTGGCTTTAGAGGGATTTCCTCTGCAATGATCACAAAGTTAAGTCCATGTTTCCTACTAAAAATTGTAGCATTTCGGCTAACATCCTCGTTCATAGTTTGTAGGAATCTGAATCTTGCAGGTGTTCTTCATTATACAGGCTAATGACGATAGTTAATTCTTTAAAAAAATATTATCTCTATTTCTTCTACTAGGGGACGTTCTATGACTTTTAATGTTTCAATAATTTGCAAATGGGTCCTTTCAATGATTTATTTTTTAAAGATTTAATTTTTGTAGGACGCTTTTCTTTGAATTGCAGCATAAATAATTAGGCTGTAACTCCTAAACGAGTGGGTTTATCGAAAAAATGTAAAGAATAAAAAAGTTTTTAAATTGCATGTTCTATCCGAAAACATGATGAAATATAGGGTGTTCTATAAGAAATTTCAAAGTTGGCCGCCATTTTGGAAAATGGCGGCTGAATTTTGAAAATACAAAATCATATTTTTAACTGCCACAAAAAATAAAGGAATGTCCCCCATTTAAAGTTTTCTCTCATTCTTACCGTTTCCGATATCCCAATGGTGGCCTCCTTGAGTTGATCACTCTGTATAGATATACGTATCACGTTTCGTGTAGCCTACAGGCAGAAAATGTCGCTCATTACGAAAATATTTATTGATTCTTTTAATAATGACTCTAGAGAAGATTTAGACAAATTAAAAGGTGTAGAACAATACAGCTAACAAAAGTGGTCCTGTAACATTTGGTCATAACTTGAACCCATATGACATTATGGATCCTTTCATGTTCTGGAATTGCTGGAGAGTTGCGTGGAGGGGCGAGCAGGGGCGTGTGGGACTTTTTTAGTATCCATACTGGCAACCTGCCTGCCGCTTACTTCGAATTGTCAATGTTACCAACATGACGTGGCTTCCGTGCCCCGTCTTCTGAACAGTCCGTTTAAAAAAAGTAAATCTAAGTAAGAAAGGCCAATATCTCTTGTAAGCTCTAATGATGATAATTTTTTTAAACCATTCTCTATAAAATAAACAGAATCAGCAATCTGGCACATACATTATTCCAAAAGCTTGTCAACAACTAGTATCATGTAAAAAGCAGTGTAGTAAAAAGCAGTAGTAGGTAAGCAGTGGGAGTTTTAACTATGATAATTTAGTAGGAAAAATCACAAAATGGCAATACATTTTTAACCATAATCGTTACAGTACTGGGGGTTGCATTATTTAGTTTAGAATTATAAGGGCCACAAACACAATAATTTTGATGGAAATCGGGTTTACAGGTTACGGAGAAAATTCTAATGTCATTGTTATGGAGAATAATTTAAGTTTTGTAGTTTGATTGTTTATTAACAAATATTGACCAGATTTGGAAAATACATTAATTTCTTACTAAACTATTAACACTTTACAAAAAAAACACTGTTTCCCCTCCCTGTTGCAGCAAACCTAAGTACTCGCTAAATTAACTCTACAGTATTTGAATAGGGAATAAATGTGATTTTTTTAATGAGGCATTTTAGTGTAAATCCAATCAGGCAAACAACCAATAATAATAACCAATAATTATGGTCACCGGAATAAGGCTGAAACACCTTTGACTTTAAATAATCTAAATATCCATTACATTTGAACCAAATATAAGCCTACCATTGAGTTATATTTCCATTTAACTTGAAATTCCAAGTAGGCTTTCCATTTCAGTGAACTAGACTTACAATTAAATAATGCAGACTTTGAATAGGTACTGCAATAATTAGGACTTCCATTAATATGAACCGAAGATACCACTGAGTTTAGATGCTGCAAGTAGACATTCCATTGACGTGAACCAGACGTAACATTGACTTAATATACTGCGAATCGGCACTCCGTTTATGGGAATCAAATTAACCATTTCTTTGGATCCTGCAAGTAGACAATTTATTTATGTGAAGGATATGTACCATTGAGTTTGTATACTTCAAGTAAACAATTCGTTTAAGTGAACCCGACGTATCATTGACTTTGAATGCTGCAAATAGGCATCTCAGTTATGTGAACCAAATGGACCATTGACATTGGATACTGCAAGTAATTTTCTCATTTTTGTGAAGCTGGTGTACTATTGATTTAGGATACTGCTACTGCAAATAGACATTTAATTTATCAGAACCAGATGACAC